TTTTCTCCTGCATCATTGGGGAAGGTTACACCAACCAGATGTCAGGGAGTAATCTTTACTGCATCTTTAATCATAGCGAGGACGCCTGTCGTTATGGTATCGGCATTGGTGTGGTTGCCTTCCTGGCTTGTATATTTTTCTTTATGGTCGACATCTACTTCCCCCAGATTAGCAGTGCCACTGATCGCAAGTACCTCGTTATGGCCGACTTAGCCTTCTCAGGTAGGTTTCTGGGAGATGTGAACTCAAACAGGACTCTGGGGAGAACAGCTGAGTTCTGTCCATGTTTTTTTTCCTCTTCCAGAGTTGGGATAGCATTTTCCCTTTTGGCTCCTATTCCCCTGTGCATGAATGTAATTGTTCAGATCTTTTGGAATGATGCCCTCTAAGGTTTGCTTTGTGAAGGGGCATAGTGGCTTTAAGGGAGGGGACCTCATTCTGGTGCTTCTTCATGAGGATAATTGCTGATAAGAAACCATAGAATTGGAGTCTGTTCTCTGGTTTAAGCTTGGGTCTTATGCTCTGAATAGTCACTACTGGTAGTCTTCACTTACTGACTGCAACTGGGACCTGCAATTCCATCACTAAGCATAGTCATGTGATTGCAATCCTGAAGCACATAACCCAGTTAAATGCAATGTCACTTGACTAATTTTCAATTTCCTGCAGGCTTCCCCATTGATTGTCAGAAGTTGACCATGAGGGTTGCAAATGGCAGTCATGTGATTGACTGATGTGCACTGCAACCATCATAAATGTGGGTTACCAAGCACCTGGATCATGATCATGTGGATGCTATAATGGCTGTAACATGAACAAGTGGCCAGAAATTTCCTTTAGTCCCATAGTAACTTCAGTCGTTGAACAAGCAGTCCTTCAAAATGTATTGGACTACAATTCTCCTGTCTCTGTCATCATTACCAATGATCAGGAACACTGGGATATTGTTCAAAGTGTTTGAAGGGTATTGTGTTGCCTAATGCCTATTACAAAGTTAGAATGAAGCCTGCCCATGCTCTAGACCATTTGTCTAAAGTGGCCAGTGCTGATTTGAATCACCCCCCCCAAAGAATAGCAATATCACTTAGACTTATATACCGCTTCATAGTGTTTTATAGCCCTCTAAGCTGTTTACAGTGCAAATATATTGTCCCCAACAATCTGGGTCCTCATTTTACTGACCTCGGAAAGATGGAAGGCTGAGTCAACCTTGAACCAGTCAGATTCAAACTTGCTGAACTGCTGGCAATCAGCAGAAATAGCCTGCAGTACTGCATTCTAACCACTGTGCCACCACCGCTTTCTCTTCCAGAATGTCAGGATTAATGTACCATACTGTACATTACTTTTCATAACTATAGCTAAAATGTTACTGTCATACTATCATGTAATCTATAAGGATGTGTTCTCTTGTCTTCTGTCTAGCTCTTTGGACCTTTTTGTGGTTTATTGGATTCTGTGTGCTGACAAACCAGTGGTCATCAGTGAAGCCTGGAGATGTATTAATTGGGGCTGATTCTGCCCGTGCATCAATTGCCTTCAGTTTCTTCTCCATTTTTTCATGGGTGAGTAAAGAGTTTCTTCCTGTCTCAAGAAAGACCAGTGATGAACATTGTCAGCCTAGGGAGATTTAAGCCTTATTTTGCCTGGTTGGCAAACAGGATATGAAATTGTGATTCTTTTGCTATTTCATTAAAGGGACCTCAATCCAAAATCAGGATGATTCAAATCTTATTGTCATTAACCCAGCCTTCTAATTGCCTGAGGAACATGGAATTTATTCTCTTTTATATAGAAAGGCTGTAAAAACACTGATGGAAGGAATCCCAGGGAAATGCATCCAGGCACCTTTTACAATAGAACTGACTCAAGAAGTAACTTTTTCAGTTTGATTCCTTAAGCTGCAGTGTGATTAAATTAATTAAGGGGATGGCATATTCATAGAACACTGTGCTGAGTGTTGCAGAGGATATTTGTTCTCTGGCAAGCAAATCTTTTGTGGGCAGATTCCTACTGTTGCATTTAACTGTTCCTCTCCATAGGGACTCCTGATTGCCTTCGCCCTTCAGCGTTACCGTATGGGTGTCCAAGATTTTGACCAAAGTTACATCGACCCAGCTCCAGGTCCAACACCCCCATACTCCAGTTACCCCAATGCCAGTCATGAGAGCTACCAGCAGCCACCCTTCACTCGCACTGGAGAGAACTCCGAGGGCTACCAGCCTCCACCTGTGTATTGATTGCTACTCACTGTTCAAAGCATCTGGCAGGGAATAGTACATTAGTGCTATGTATTCATTTCTCGGGGTGGGGACTATGTCTACTGTGAAATTGTGAGGATGTTACAACCAAGATTGTAGGTTGTGCCTGTATATGTAATGGGTTCTGGGATAGTCTATTGTTTTCAACTATTTTCAAAACTTGCTTCTTGAAAAAAAACAACCCTCTTTCTTTTGTGGGTACAGGAAGCTTGTAGTGTGACTTGCAAGGCATATTAATTGCTGAAATGGTATTGACTACTTGGTCTTACTACTGCTGCAGCTAACTTAAGCTGCTTGCTGGAAATTAAGCTAGAGGCATTTTGCAACTGAGGAAAACTACTTCTACTGGATATGACCCAGTGGGATCCTTACTACTGCTATATGCCTAATGCTGTTACATCTGTGCCTTGGTGTGCTTGTTCATCTTGACCATTCCAGACCTCCAATGGGTCTGGAGTTCCTATGGCTGTGGTGCTACCCTTCCAGACTGAGAAATGCCTGTGCAGTGCTTTCTATCATTTCAGTTGCTGATACCAAAACCAATTAAAAGCATTTCTAGATAAAGCTTTAGACGCATTGCATTAGTGATTCAATTGAATTTATCATATCATGCCTTTTCTTTGGTTTAAAAGTGGGAAGGACTTGGTTCCATGAAGAATTGTGAGACCTGTTTTAAGTATTTTATAGAGACCTACCAGTTTTCAATGATGTACCAAAGGCAAAACTCACTCTTACAAATTTTATTCTCCTTACCTTTCCTGAATCACTAACAAATAGGAATGTGTGTGAAGGGGAAAATACGCTGCTTTGAAGCCATCACACTTTGCATCTAGAAGAGCTCAAAAACAATAGCTGCAATACTGCCTTTTGATCAAACTCAAATCAGGTTTTTTGGGTGAATAGGCCTTCAACAACAGCCAATGCCAAAGCATAGCATACCCCATTACCTCACTGACCCTCATCTTCCCACGCAGTCCCTGCTCCAAAAGCACAGCAGAGCCTATCCCCAATCTTCAGAGTACCTTCCTTTCCTCCCTGCTGTGACTGCCAGCCTCTGCATTTGGTACCACTCTTGCCCTATCTCAAACCTCCACTACTGGAACAAAAGAGACCCCCATTTTAGTCTGTATGCAGACCAAAACATTCAAAATTGATGTATTTCAGTTCAGGAAGAGATCAGCAGAGACTGTTCTGCACACAATGTTTTATACATCTTCATTAACAAGTATTTCAAGAGAATGGCTTTTTTGTATCCATAGCCTGTGGCTGTTAACACTGCTGTTTTCTAATTGCAAGTTTTGGGAAACTCCAGGCAAATGTTGCAATCTTGGGGCTTTGAAGTGTTGTAAATCTTTTGCCATACATAGTAGAAGTCAAATTATATGCATCCCTTACAACATGTGGATTTTGATGTGTCCTATAATTTTAGGAGAGTGGACAAATACTTTATTGTACAGAAAGATTAATGACTAGGCAAGGGTGTATTGTCTAGCTAGCATATGGACAGCAGTGGAATTTTTAAAAAACATGAATCCTTTTAGGCTAGCCTTTATTGCCTGCTTTTTGTCTGAAAAAAAAAGTTATATAGCTTTTGTGTGAAGATCATCTATACTGTTTAGGAATAACTAGGGTAAAATTATTGGCAGTAATTATTTTTAAGTGTCCCAGAGAAAACTATCTTAGCATTTTCAGCTGTAATTTCCCTTCAAAGAATGTCATGCATATAGCCATTTCCTGATTAATGATTTAAGAGCTTTACTTATAACAGGCATTATATTGTCCTAATATCAACAGGCATTAACAAAGGGGCAGGGTAACTCTAGAATACATTTTAAACCAGTAATAAAATTCTTGTCACTGAAGTTAAATATTCTTAAGATGAACTGGTAGTACTAAGTCCTACACATTAAACTTTTAAAGATTAATTTTATTCACTGCATCATTGATTAAAACCAACCGTTCAGTTTCCACTAGAGGTTCCTTCTTCTGCTCCTAACAGAAGCAACAGAAGCAAGACACGGGGTGTTTTCAGTGTAAAAAGATTACATTTACTCAAAAAGAGGAAATGCAGATACTCATAGCTGCAATAAAATCAGAATGTTACACAGTATGCTAGAAAATATAAAACAGGAATATAATACTTAAAACAACTACTGACACATTAGTAGCCAGTTTAATAAATTAAACAAGCAAAAGTAGAATATATTTAAGTCAGTGTAAGATGTCAAGTGTCTATCTAGGAAGGTTAAAAGAAAAGCCCTTTATTGTGTTAATTATAAAGGCTGGAAAAGGGGCCTTTTTCTTTGTAAGTCCAGGTCTTTATTTACAAGCAGATACACACACCACCAAATAAAAATACATTTTGTTCAGTTAACCTGTTCAGTCTTTAAAGCCCAACAGCCTGTAAATTAATTGCCTATTGAATATAGTAAGAATTCCCCTTCCCCCAAACCCCAATTTGATGGATTTAGAAAAATAATGTTCCAGTTTCATAGTGCAACTTGCTGTTAGTACATTTACTTTAGCCATTATGGCAGTTAAAACTCTGAATTAAACAGTTTGGGGAAATTTTGTGCAAGAGGAAATGCCACTAATGATATTACAAAATCTTCCCTCTAGAGACATAAGAAACCAGTGCAGTTCTCAATATAGAACATCCTTATTCATAGCATGTTATAATGTTCTCAAGCCTTGTTGCTGCTTATAAAAACAACTCTGTTGTGTGGGAGGGACATTAATTTAACAATACAAAGCTAGAAGGAAGGACAAGAAAGTGTTTCTTTAAATCCACCTGGGAATCAGATCACTTGCTTCCATTGTTCAATTAGATGGATTCCATGGCATGATCTGATGGGTAACCAAGACTTTCCTGGAGGTACTAATATCCAGGGGCTTATTCCCACATAGTAGGTTCTCTTTGTTTTCAGATACCAACTGTTGTCGATTCTTGAAATAACAGACCCGGCAGACTGAATGATATTTATCTGCCCCTCCTATTACTTCCACCTAAGAGGATGAAATTTAAAAATAAAAGGTTTTGTTGTTATCAACCTACAGCAGGCAATATCTCTCACAATCAACAGTTTTAAAGAAAGGGAGAGCTTTTATTAGAGTCTTACCTCTTTCTCTGTTCCCAACCTTTTTGTGTAAGAGGCCTCATGATAACACTCCATACAAACAGCATTAAGTTTCACGACACTCTCTGCGAAGGGGACTAGTTGTAAGATGTTCCCAAAAGCCTGAAATGAAACCATGAAATATTTTGTAGAACTGGGACATAAACTATCCAGAAATTTTAATGAATAATGTAAAGATATTTACCTTCCTCTGAAATGTTCCATCAAGGGCTGCCACAATGACAGTCTTCCCTGCATTGGCCATTGTCTCACAAAACTCAACTATATCTGGAAACTAATTGGAAAAATTAAAAAGTTAATCATTCCCTCATTCCAACCTTTAGAAACTTTGTAAATCAATGTCTAAGATGCTGTTTTGTTGTGAATAAAATTAACGATGATCTCCAAAGAACATAAGATCTATTTAATTCACCATTCTGTACCCACTGGTGCATTAGATGCCTCTAGGAAGCTCACAAGCAGGAGTACAACATAGCCTCCCACTGATCTTTTTTGTTAATTAACTTCTGAATATATGCTTTCTCTAATAATAAAAGAAATTGTATATGGAATACAGTCTTTTAAATAAGCATTTCCTTTTATTTGTTGCAATTCTATCATTCAGCTTAATTTCTAGGTTTTACAATTCAAGAGAATAAATTTGCACACTTCCTACGTAAAGAGAGCAAAATTATATTCTCCTGAATGTTGTGTGTGTGTGTGTGTGTGTGTGTGTGTGTGTGTCCCCTTCTTTAACCCCATGATGCTCTTTTTCAGATGAACTGATCAAAATTCTACTTGTATTCCCAAATCTGGTTGCATTTTCGATTTCTTTCAGATTACGCCATTAGAAGCATTTACATGGTATTCATAGCACAATTTTATCCATTTGCCAAGAACCAAGTCCTACTCCGTTTACTGAGGTTTGCTTTCCAAGCTAACCATGCACAGGATTGTATTTTACAATCATGTTTACCATTCATGTTTACAATCAAGTCAAGTGAATATAAAGATCTATCATATCATCACTGTTGCCTCACATCTCAGAGGTAATATCAATGAACAAAATGGGTCTTACCCTACATAAGTGTATATAGAATTATGTACCAAAGTGTATTAAGCACAGAAACAATTATCAGTACTTGGCAGTTCATTTAAACATTCAGGTAATATAAACTTACAAACTGGCCTTCATCAATGCCAATCACAGTGGAATTCAGAGCCTCCTGCTGGACATCTTTGAGGCAACAAGCTGACATGGCCTCCATGGTGTTTCTGTGTAGAAAGAATATCAAGAATTGGAAGGGACCTTGGAGGTCTTCTAGTCCAACCCCTGCTCAAGCTGGAGACCTTACACTATTTCAGATAAATGGCTGTCCAATCTCTTCTTAAAAACCTCCAGGGATGGAGCATCCAAAATTTCTGGAGGCAAGCCATTCCACTGCTTGTTCTCACTGTCAGGAAATTTCTCTTTAATTCTAGGTTTCATCTCTCCCTCATAAGTTTCTGCTGATAAGGTAAGTATCTGCAGCAGGTTAAAATTTATTTAGGGGTAACTATTCCCAAATACCAAAGCCTGCAGATCCTCTTAAAGACAGATAGCAACCCTCTAAAAGCAAAAATGTTAATGAAGAGATTCAAATAAAAGATATAGAAAAATGTTTTTACCCTTTTGCAATTGTCTATATGGAAAATAGATGACATTTTGTGAAAAAATAAAATTTGAAGTTTTGAAAGGCTCAAGCAAGATAATAAATTAGGGGATCACAATTTTAGCTTATTTAACTTTCAAAAGAACTAAAGTTATATAAAGAGGTGTATTCTGTTACAATAATAAGATTGAATCATAAGGGTTTAGCGTGATTTTCCTCAGAAGAATGATTTTGTGATGAAAACATAACTGCACACAGTTAAGGGCTCTAGATTGCGCTAACATTTAACTAACAAAACCTTTTATAATACTCTTGCAATTTTGTTTTCTCCCTCCAAAGTGACAGGACCCATTTCTAATTTGTATTTTTTAAGAAACATTGAGCTGTGTATAAGTGTAATATATAGGTATAGTAAAATAGTTACAAATATTGGGAATGTTACTATATAAGGAGATGAACTTGCCTTATTTTTGTGAAACAATGCCTTTTCATGTATTAATAATTTTATGTGCTTGTCTGTCATAATCTGTAAATTCTTTTTCTAATTCTCTAAAAGCTCATGTTGAGACTTATATGAAGCTTCACTGTACAATATTTAAGGCCAAAAAAGTGTGTCAGATATATTGTATGCTGAGGCAATACCACTAATTGCAGTTTCTTGAAGGTGATAAAACCAAATCCACAAGCAATATTACAGGACACATATGAACTGTTTTCCTGAACCAAAAAGTGTATCTCTGCTAAGTGTTTTCTCCAAGTGATAAGCTATTGATTTACTTTGCTCATAGTATATTTTCACCTGTCATGTGTGGAGACCCCACTGACGCAATAGCGTGTGTCTTTCGCATACTTGATTAGTAGACATTTATACTGTGCGATTTGAAATCGACGGACTCGGCGCATCAGTTCAGTGCTAAAAAAGAATTAAGATTCCGTTGTGGCAAATGCAGAAAAAAACTGAAGTACTCAAAAAGTAAAATCTTTTTTATTCTATCATGGATCAAAACTTCTTGCACTACCCAAAATCTCAATTTTAATAATTTGGCCACATAACTTCAAAGTAATTGAGCATCTAAGCCCGTGGTTAATATACTCCCTCAAGATACCAAACCTATACCATTTCCAATTTAGATACTGGATTATCAGAAACAGGAAAAAATGGTAGTTACTTTTTGCCCCCTGCTTATTGCAGCCTTCTCCAGCATGGTATTAAAATTATATTAAAGCTTAAAACTTGTAAAATTCTTAGTCAAAGTTTCAAAGAATAAAACAGTGCTACTCTTCTATATGTTGTAATACATGTGTAATCTATTCTTTATTTATATTTATTTATATCCGGCTTTTATTATTTTTACAAATAACTCAATTTTCCCCACAACAAGAACCCTGTGAGGTGGATTGGACAGAGAGAGACTGACTGGCTCAAAGTCACCCGGTTGGCTTTCATGGCTAAAATGATCTCAGCCATACTTTTAATTCCTGATCTACTGAGTTAAGGAGAAGCATGGGCCTAGCTGAATATAACCAGGCCTGCAGACTGTCTTGCTCCTCTGCAGGTTCCTCTTTATTTCACTTCAAGCTCCCGCCTTCTTTTCTAGTCATCTCAGCCAGTGCTAACTATTTTAATGCCCTCATACCTTTTTCCAGAGAACATGGGTCCAAAGATGACCTGTCAGAAGAGGAGGAGGGGGGGGGAAATGAATAGTTAGCAGTTTTCCCACTTTCCACGTGGAACTTCTTCTCTCCCCCCTAATTTTAAAACTTCCCATCCTAAAATCTCTAATGCCATCTTTCCAAAGTGGATCGTCCTGCCGTGTACCTGTATCTGGCCGCGGGCCTTCTGCGGGGATCCTGGTTGCACTCTCGGCATCATCATGTAACTCATGGTTCCGACCGGGTCCCGCCGGCTGCTCTGCTCCAAGAAAGGCGCCTTTTTTTTTTCCCTAGGCGCGAGCGCGATTTAGAGTAGCTGACCAATCGGGACGGTTCCCACCAGTCAGCAAATCATGAGGAAGAAGAAGAAGAAGAAAGAACTTTTCGGCCAATCGCGAACAAGGCGGGCCATGTCTTTTTTCTTTAAAAGTGCTTATAGACATTCCTGCTAGAGGACTTATAAGGAACTTCCAACTTGCTCTAAAGAAGCAAGCCAGAGGGGGAAGGGAAGAAGGATATCTCGGGATTTGATTACAGCTGTTAATGTTCTGCTTGCTTTTCTAGCTGAGCGCCGCCTTCTTTTGTTGCAAAATCTCTCCTTTTAAAGGAATCTTTTCTGTCGGCAAAGCAAACTCATTCAACCTCCCCAGCCTGTTGTCTAATCCATAACCTGAGATTTTCAACTGCTTTTGTCACAAAATTTGGAGAGCATTAATTTGAGGAAGGGTTGTCGGTATGGGACATGATGCTTCTTTAGGAACTGAGGATGTACAAACTCATTCAGAGAAGTTTCCATTCAGGAAATTCAATGTCACAGAACTGAACTGGAAAGAATTAACTGGCAGAAACGTATTGCTTGGGCCTGCAGCTGAAATAATAAAAGCAATAGTTCATGTGAATTATCTCAATCATAATTACCAAACATAAGGTTATGTATACTGAGTGCATTAAATTTCTCATGAGAGAAATGAATGGAAAAGTAGAACCAGATTTGCACTTTCTGCTTGGCCCATCACCACTATAGGCTGCTTCAGCACTCCCTGCATGCCAGCCTCTCCCGCACCCACTTCAAATGCACCCTCTGCTCATGTTTTCCAGCTTAGAGTTAAAGCTGCTATTCTTTCAGCCTGAGCCATCATAAGTCCTTCTGGATGGGTGGGGGATTCAGGTGCTCTGTTTTCACAGTAGCATCCCCAGCTCCAAGAGACTGCAGGGCCTATTTACTCCCCTCCTTTCCCACATCTGGTCACCATCTTGGACAGTCATTTTGTGCTGGGTTCTTGTATTCCTATGTACTCTTTCCTCAGCAGTTGCTGTTTTTGATAATTCTGTGGTTGAGTCAATGAACCATCTTCAATTTCCGTTTAACTTCAGTGCTTCCTCTTTAGCTGAGGAAATGTTTGTTTTTAGCTACATGATTTTTCACTTAGCAATTTGTTTATTTTTGACTCACCCTAATAAGTAAACCTACCGATTGCGATTCACAAACTTACATTTACGCTCTACTTGTAGATAATGCAAGATTGTTTTGCTAACTATTTGTAAGGGATAAGAGTCAGAGTGACTTCCAACTTCTTGCCAGCTTCCCCATTATGGGAAGCTTGCAGAGAACATCAGAAACCAACCAGTCTCCCTCCTTCCCTCTGTCCCTTGCTCTCTCCTCCACCTTCCCTCCTTCTTTACCTGCTTCCCTTTCTCCCTTCCTTACCTTCTTCTTTGCTTCCCTCCCTTGCTGTCATTCTGTCATAATCTTCCCTCCCACCCTCTCTTCTCTCTCCCTCCCTCCCATTCTTCCACTCTTTCTTTCCTCTCTCCTTACCTCACTGTTCCTTTCTTCCTCCTCCTTCTCTCCCGATACCTCCTTCTCCCTTCCTTCTTTTTTCCCTCTTTCCCACCCTTCTTTCCCTACTTCCTTCCTTTCCTTCTTCCTCTTCGTCTTTTTCCCTTTCTCCCTCCCTCACCCTTCTTTCCTTGCTATCATTATGTCATTATCTTCCTCCCTCCCTCCTTTTACCCAGTAAAGGTTATGACAGTAAGAATTTCAGTAGTATATCAATTAAAGAGCATTGTTATTTTGATATATAAGAATTAGCAAGTAAAATTAGTTACTTGCATGAAGCTTGGAATATGGAATTGGAAAAACAATGGTTTTTAAATAATGCTAAATATGATATACGATGAGATTGTTTTGGTTAAAATTAATCTCAAATTAATTAATTTGGTTAACTTTTGTTTTCTTGTTATGATTTTCTGAAAAATAATATGACTTACATCTATGTTATCAATCCTTGTATTAAATTGCTAAATTATTAGATCTCTTGACTTCCTGACAAAATGCACCCGAACATCTCATAGAATATTCTTATTCCCACAAATGTATTTATTTTATCAACCTATAACAGATTCATTATAACAATAAGGGGAATTTGCAAAATATAAAAAAGGAAAACAGGAAAGTTGCCTGGACCAGATGGATTACAAGGATCTTATAAATATTTTAAGGACAAAGTTTCACAAACTTTACAAAATATGATGAACTCTATTTTACAGGGAGGAAAATTGCCAGAGAACTAGAAAATAGGATAATATTGAATCAATACCTAAACATAGTAAAGATTTGACTTTAACGAGAAACTATCAATATCTTTATTGATTAATGACTATAAGTTGTAATAGATACAAACTCAAGGTTAACAGCACCAAACTTGATTGCAGGAAATACGATTTCAGCAACAGAGTGGTCAATGTCTGGAATACTCTACCTGACTCTGTGGTTTCTTCCCTAAACCCCAAAAGTTTTAACCTGTCTACTATTGACCTCACCCCTTTCCTAAGAGGTCTGTAGGGGGTGTCCATAAGCGCACCAATGTGCCTACCGTCCCTGTCCTATTGTTTCATATATAATATGTATCCTTGTATTCATAACTATGTTTTTATTTATACCTATTATCTTGTAAGCAATTGACAAAAATAAATAAATAAATAAAAATAAATAGATTGTAAATAAGTGTAAGAATTTGTATATATGAAGATCTATGTGTGCTTTATCTAGACAGTTAAAGACAGTTAAAAATAATATTAGAAATGTACTGGACATTTGAAGCAGCCTAATGAAAAACAATTCACATTGATTTCTTAATAGGCAGAGAAGGCCTATTCAATGCTTTGGAAGATATGAACTTTGGAAAGAATTTTATCAAATGGGTAAGACTGGTTTACACAATACAGAAAGCACAAATAATTGTTAATGAAGAGCTAACAAATCTTATAGGTTACAAAAAGGATCAAGACAGGTCTACTCATTATCTCCTTTTATTTTTGTTTAATTTACTTCTTGAAATATTGCATAAAGATATAGGACAAAAATGAGAAAATTGTGGGAATAAAGATTGAAAAAGAAAGCTATAGGTTAAGAGCATTTGATTTGTTACTGGTTTTAGAGGATCCTTTAAAGAGAATTGTAACATTAATAGGAAAAATAAAATAATTTGGTATATTAACAGGTTTTAAGATTAACAAACGGAAGACAAAGACATTATCAAAACATTCGGTATATATTAGTAATGTGTGGGTGCAGTCAAAACTTAAGTGGATATTTGCTGAATAAAAACATTTCTAAAACCGTTTTTATTTTCAGACGTTGACTGGCCTTCTTTCAGTGTATCTAGGTTAATATTTAACGTTACTTTCCAATTATTCATTTTCAGCATACTTGTGAAGGCATGGCAGAAAAAGTTATTTATAGAGACACAGAGATCAGCAAGTTAAAACAATCTTTAAAAAATGGGGTGGGGTAGGGATAGCATTGCCACACCTAACATTACTATTTTTTCCCCAAATTTGTTCACTTGGATATTGTAGCAGGAAGACAATGAGAGATGAGTTTACTCAATGTCTCTGTTCTACAGCGAACTGCTTTCTGTGCAGCCCCAATGCTGATATGACCAATGAGGACAGCCCCTTAATCTGGAATTGCTGACGTCTTGCAGAGCAGCTGGAAGAGCATAGGCCAAGGACGAACACTGAATCTGATCTGCGCCGTTTGTCAGAGGCTATATAGGACCCCATGTTCTCACCACTTTGTTCGTCTTGAGCCCAGGATCATCGGGAGAAGGAATATAGCCACAACTTAGCCATTGCTATGGGAAAGTGGCAGGAAATGACAAAGGAGGTATAGCTGTAATGTTTGTGTTTGCGTGATTGTGGAAGGGAGGGAAGAGAGATTTTCAATGTTTGTTTAATGTGGGTGTATTTTAGAGACATTAAAAAAAAAAAGATTTGGGAATTTCCAGAATGGGAAGAGGAGAGGTACATATTTTGCTCAAGATAGAACAAGGGCTAAGAAATGTTTTACTCACAGATTTATTTATGTGCTTGGAAGTTTAGTTCCCTAAATCCCTAAGGAACTCTCTGAGACTGATCTTGGGCCCTGCCACAAAAATTATACCCAGCACAAAAGCCCAGAAGGTTTAACCAGTTAGCTCCATTTGTGACAAGAATAGACTGCAACGCAAAAGCGCTTCCATGGCTGCTCTTCAGAGCTTCTCAGGTCCATCCAGTGGTGGGATTCCATTTTTTTTACTACCGGTTCTATGGGTGTGGCTTGGTGGGCGTGGCAGGGGAAGGATACTGTAAAATCTCCAGTCAGAGGTGATATTTGCCGGTTCTCTGAACAACTCAGAATTTCCGCTACCGGTTCTCCAGAACTGGTCAGAACCTTCTGAATACCATCTCAGGGTTTATCCCTCCTGCTCCTCTGCTCCTCCTCCTCTTACTTTTCCTGCAACATACTGCTACTTTCATATCCAGGTTCAGAGCAGAGACAAGGGTGGCAGAAATAAGATTTGCTCAGCTGATTATTTAGATCATTGTTACTGATCTTAAGGCTAAGAGAATTCTGGGGAATAAATTGTATGTGACTGGAAGGGTGCATGCTACTCTGATGCACACAGAAGCAGTCACAAAGTGTTAAATTTAAGATTAAATTAAACTTAGACAAATAAATCAACAAGGCATTTTGTGCAGGCAGATGGAAAGGATTACAGGGCGGAGGTGGGATTCAACCAGTGTTACTACTGGTTCGGTGACTATGTTTTGCGCGCGTGTGTAAAAAACCTTCAGCTGTGCTGCCCGAACAGCTGAAAAGCGCTGTGCACGGGTGCGCAGCATTTGAAAAGCTACTTTTTTCCTGCTTTTTCAACCTCAGCTGTGCTGCGCAAAGAAGCTGAATTTGAAAAAGCAGGAAATAAAAGACAGGCAAGAGCCCGGGCGGGTGGGTAGGCCAAACAGCAGAAACACAGAACTGGTTCAGTGTCTGCTGCTCTTCAGAGCTACCAGTGCTATAGAGCTTGGCAGAACTAGTAGCATCCCACCCCTGGATTACAGGGGCAGTGTTAAGTTTGAGCAATGAGAGGCTGAACCAGAGCATGAGTGCAACAGTACTTTATTTACAAATAAAGGGCTGACCGTGCTTGCCAAGCCTGGAACTGGCTCGCAGCAATCAGCAGCCAGTTGGACCCCGCAGCCTGCTTTTATAGCTGGCTGCTGGGGAGAACTGACCAATGGGAATGGGGGAAATAACGCCCACACAAGTGAGTGGACCTGAGTGAGAACTCCTTGAGTCCTCAGGACATAACACCCCTTCCCCCCAGATGCGAACACGCATAGTCCTTGAGGTAGATGGGGGGTTTGTGTTGGCGCCCGGAGCGGCGCAACTCGGGAACATTGTCTGACTGTTCGGCATCAGTCTGTGACGGTTGAGCCGGCATAGTGTCACCAACACTCTCTCTGGACTGGGCATCCTCGGAAACCACCGGGTTGGTTTCTGGAGTCAAACTCTCGTGGGTTGGATCCGGTTGATCAACTCTCTGGGCGCTGTTGTCCGGGTTTGGGCTGACCGGAACGACCGCTGGCGCAGACTGGTCACTGGGTGCGATGTGGCTGGGTGGCGGATGGGACGGTTCCCCTTCGACTGGAGACTCTGGATCCTTGTTTGCGAGGTTGCTGAGGCGCCTTCTGAGTTGGTCTATGTGTCTCCTCCAGACGCGACCGTCCTCCAGCCTGACTCTATATGATCTCGGCCCGGTGACGGCGATGACTTCGCCCGGAATCCAAAGTGGGTCCCCAGCGAAATTCCTGGCGAATATCGGCTCCTGTAACATAAAATGTCTAACCCCCGAAGTGGAAGCGAGGGGAGAGTCAGGGCAGTATTGTGGGTGCAGTCTATCCAATACAGTCCTCAGGCGTCGGCCCATCAGAAGTTCCGCTGGGGACTTATTGGTGACTGCACAGGGGGTTGAGTGCTGGCTCATCAGGAACCGTGAGAGTTTGTGGTGCCAGTCATCTCTGCCAAACCTAGCGAGGGCCTCTTTGGTGGTCCTGACGGCCCTTTCAGCCAACCCATTACTCGCAGGGTGAAATGGGGCTGTTAAAATGTGGCGAATGCCTAGGTTGGCTGCAAAACGGCTGAATTCTACTGATGCGAACTGTGGGCCATTATCGGAGACCAAGGAGTCGGGTAGTCCATGGGTAACGAACAGGCGCGTTAACACGTTGGTGATTGCTAGTGTGGTTGTCGTGGATAGCTGCGCCACGTCTATCCACTTGGAATAAGCGTCCACGACCACTAGGAACATCTTTCCATGCACGGGGCCGGCCAGATCGATATGGATTCTAGACCAAGGGGCGCTGGCGCTCTCCCATCTGGTAGGGGTGGCGATGGGGGGAGCAGGACGGGATTCCTGGCAAATGCTGCAGGAACTTACCCAATTGACAATGTCCTCGTCTAGACCCGGCCACCATACGTAGCTGCGTGCCAACGCCTTCATTCTCACAATGCCGGGGTGTCCCTCGTGCAACGCCTCCAGGACTCGGGTACGCAGCGAGGTCGGAATGATCACTCGAGTGCCCCACAGTAGACAACCCTGCAAACTGGACAGCTCCTGCATGCGAGTCTTAAAGGGTGCGAATTTGTTATCAACATTGCCTCCCGGCCACCCCCTCCTCACCCAGTCGAGCACCTGGGCGAGCGTTTGGTCTGCCTTGGTTTTGGCGGCGATGTCAAGGGCGGTGATGGGCAGGTCCAACTGGGTGATTTCAAAAATGGCATTGACAGGAGCTGGGTCTTCAGCCGGAGCGGGTAAGGGGCAGCGACTGAGTGCGTCAGCGTGGGATAGAGTTTTGCCCGGGCGGTGGATAAGTTTGTATGAGTAGGCCGCTAGAAAAAGCATCCACCGTGTCATCCGAGGGGAGAGGACTTGAGGTGTCTGTTTGTCGCCGGCCAGTAGGCCCAGGAGGGGTTTATGGTCGGTGACCAGTTCGAAGAAGTGGCCAAAAAGGAATTCGTGAAACTTTTTCACGGCTGCAACAGCTGCTAGGGCTTCCTTGTCTATTTGGCTGTAATTTCGCTCCGTGGCCGAGAGCGTCCTGGAGAAAAAGGCGATGGGGGCCTCGGCGCCATTGGCGAGTCGGTGACTAAGGACCGCCCCAATTCCAAAAGGGGATGCGTCTGCTGCCAGTACTAAAGGAAGGTTGGGGTCGAATTGGATGAGCACTGCCTCTGACGTAAGTAGTGATTTGACGGCGTTAAACGCCTGGTCTTCTTTGTGCCCCCAGTGCCACGGTGACTTTTTGTCTAGTAATCTGTGTAGGGGTTCGGCTACTGAGGCTTTATGGGGCAAGAAGGATGCATAAAAGTTTAGGAGTCCCAAGAAAGCTTGTAGCTCCATTTTGGAGGTTGGTGTGGGAGCTTCGTGGATCGCCCTGACCTTGGACTCCAGGGGGTGAATGCCAGAGGCGTCAATTTTATAACCCAGAAAGTCCACCTGTCTAGTGGCAATGGCGCATTTTTCTTTTTTTAACTTGAGGCCATGCTGTCTGAACCTCTCTAACACTGCTCGCACTCTCTGGAAGAGTTGGGGTCTGTCCCTGGCCGAGACCAAGATGTCGTCGAAGTAGGGTACTACACCAGGGAGGCCCTGTAAAATCCGCTCCATGAGGGATTGAAAAATGCCCGGGGCAACACTTACGCCAAATTGGAGACGCTTGCATCGGAAGGCACCCCTGTGAGTGACGATGGTCTGAAGTTCCGCTGTTTGGTTATCAACAGGGAACTGTTGATATGCTTGAGACATGTCCAATTTAGCAAAAATACTGCCCGGTTCGAATGTATGCAATAAATGCTGAATGACGGGCACGGGATAGGCGCTAACTTGTAAATATTTATTGATTGTTGTCTTGTAGTCCGAGCAAATTCTCAGGCTACCATCTTTTTTTAGGGGTGTGACAATGGGCGTCTCCCACTTGGTGAAATCTGTTGGGTCAATGACCCCTTGTTTTAGTAGTTTATCCAATTCAGCGTCTAGTTTTGGTCGAATAGCAAATGGAACTCTACGTGGTTTTAATCTGATTGGGGCTGCCTGGGGGTCAACGGTGAACGAGATGGGGGTTCCATTATAACACCCCAGCTCCTCGCTGAACACATCTGCGTAGTCAGCGAATAAGGAGTCAGTGTCTGAGGTTGAGACAGCATGGACTCCTGTTAACCCTAGGCCGAGGTGGGGAAACCAATCGAGCCCCAATAAGGTGGGTAGGTTGCCATTAACTACCACTAGAGGTAGGTGGCCTTTAAAAGCTCTAAAACTGACAAAGAACTTGCCTCTGCCGATCACGGGAATGGCCTTCCCCTGGTAGTCCTTCAGACCGAACTGGCATCTCTGAAGCCGGGTAGTAGATAGGCTGGGGTGGAGTCTCTTGAGGGTGTTCCACGAGATTATTGAGAGCGCTGACCCTGTGTCAACCTCCATGTGGCACGGTTTACCTTCTAGGGAAACGGAGAGAGAAATTTTACTAACAGAGTGGCAAGTACGCCTGGCAAGGCGGTGCGTGCGACAGTTTAATACTTGCCTCTGTGGTCCCGAGTGCGAGGACGGGGGTCTTTGTGCAGCGCTTTGGGGGGCTTGGCAGACTCTCGCAATGTGCCCCCTCTTATGGCAGTTGTTGCAAACGGCTCCTTTAAACTTGCAGGTGGCCCTTTGATGTGATCCCCCACAGGCTAGGCACAGGGTGATGTGCTTGGGTGGACCGGTGTATTCTTGTTTGGCCCCTACCTGCGACCGTCTGTCATTGGTGAGGCGATGGACATCGTTCTCATCGTTGTGGCCTTCCTCCGCTTCCACCTCTTCGGAATGGACTGGGAACGCTGCTAGCTTGGCGCTTGGGCCCTGAATTTCGGTGGCTGAGTTCGTAGCTAGCTCGGCTGCTAGGGCCTCCTCTACCGCTTGCGCGAGGTTGAGGTCTTTCTTAGCCAGCAGACGCCTCTGTAGGTTGAGATCCTTGACCCCACAAACCAATTGATCGAGGAGCATGTCCTCTAGGTATGTTCCAAACCCACAGTGCAGGGCTGCTGTTCTGAGGGCGGCCATATATTGGTTGATGGTCTCCTTACTTGATTGCTTCCTCATTCGGAACGTGAACCTCCTGGCGATTTGTGAAGGTCTGGGAGCGTAGTGGTTTGTGAGGATCTCAAGCAACTCGGACCACGGAACGTTTTTTAATTCTCTCGGCGCCACGAGTGCTGCAGCGGTATCGTAAACGGTGGCTCCGCAGTAGATTAGGAAATAGGATTTTTTCCGATGCTCTCCCGCATCCGACAGGCCGACCGCATCGATGTAATGATTGAAACGGTTCTTATACGATTCCCACTTCTCTTCGTCTGGTTTAAACGCCGGGAATACTGGATTGGAACTCATGGTGCTGGAACGGCTGGGCTACCTGCGGGAGAAATCTCTCTGGGACTACGAACGCTCGTGAGTTACAAGTGATATCAGCTCTGGAGAGGTTTTTTTGCTACCCTCTCTTTCTCTCTCTCTGGGTTACCACGTTGGCTGCTAGCCGTTGGAGGTGTCTTGATTCGCGCCAAAAAAAGTGGGCGTTAGTGACTCTCTACAGCGCTGTGCTGTGATTCCTACTGGCCCGAAATTCAAATGACACCCGTTTGAATTTCGCGCCAAATGCAGAGCGGCTGCGGCTCGCAGCGCTTCACTTTCCCCGTAGCGAGGCTAACAAGCGGCTACAGACGCTTCTAACTATTTGACTCAGACCGCTTTCTCTGGCTGCGGATCTGCGTTTGCTCTTTTTGATCGCTCGTTTCGCTAGCTGACCGCTCTCTCTGGCTGCGGATCAGCGTTTCCCCTGTTGCCAACCAATCGCTCTCTCTGGGCTGTAGATCGGTGGCTAGTGACTCAGCGGTTGCAAGGTGCTTCTGGTAGCCATCCCATCCTCGTCGCCAGTGTTAAGTTTGAGCAATGAGAGGCTGAACCAGAGCATGAGTGCAACAGTACTTTATTTACAAATAAAGGGCTGACCGTGCTTGCCAAGCCTGGAACTGGCTCGCAGCAATCAGCAGCCAGTTGGACCCCGCAGCCTGCTTTTATAGCTGGCTGCTGGGGAGAACTGACCAATGGGAATGGGGGAAATAACGCCCACACAAGTGAGTGGACCTGAGTGAGAACTCCTTGAGTCCTCAGGACATAACAGGCAGCAATTCATACATTCATCCTCTTGCCTCTCTCTTGCAGATTGAAAAACTTACTTTTTCTTAATTGAGGTTAGCATCATTCCCAATCTGCGAGTATTTCTGAAACTGTCCACATTATGTATTGAGGATGCTATTGCCTTTGTACAAGTTATCCTGTTTTCTTTCCCCACAGGAATTGGAAACTCAATATTCCCCTAGCAGGTGGTCTCCACGGCTGGATAAGGATGTTGTGATTGAGGCACACACGAAAGCAGTGACTGAAGGTATGGGCTACCCAAGAGATAGAAAAATGGGGTAAGCAAACTATAGACCTCCCAGTTCCTCTGGATTCTGGCTTTATTGCCAAAATATACTAGAGCAGGGCTGTCAAACTTGTGACCTGCTTGCCAGATGCATCACATGCTGGCTACGCCCACGCCTGGTTTAGCCAAGGGGAGGGGAAATCCTGATATGTCATGTGACGCTGCCATGATGCTGTGAGTTTGACACTCCTATACTAGAGCATCTGAGTTCGCTCCAGCAAAACAGGCAACATGCATGCTTTTATGAACACGTGGTTACATTGCCAGGATTAGTTACGTCGTGGCAGGTGTACCCTTGTTTGTAAACTCTGGAATAATTTTATCAAGTCTGCACACAGTTGCAAACATAGGAGTCCTGATTGTTCACAAGACAAAGAAATACAATGAATAATAAAGGAAATAAAGCCCAAAACACAACAGATGACAATCAGGTCCCCAAAGCACTCCTGAAAAGCTTGACCTTCGGCCTTTTTCCAGAAGGTGGAAAATATTGAAATAAATTGGTGGGTATGGCATTTCTAATGAGCAGGCATAGAGATTTATGGACTACCTACCCCCTGATAAACATACCAGGGAGGAGCTGGGCAAAAGTGGAAAAAAAAAATGAAAGGGAGACCTCTTTCCTTTGAAGTTATGTCAAAGTGAAAAGCCGCTGTTTCCCCAAGAAGCAAAGAGAATCAGATGCAGTTGTGACGATGGGTAATCCTTGACTTATGACCACAATCGAGCCCAAGATTTCACTAGCTACGTAGGACAGTTGTTAATGGACTTTTGCCCCATTTTACAACCTTTCTTGCCACAGTTAAGTAAATCACTGCACTTGTTAAAATAGTAACACGGTTACTAAATGAATCTGGCTTCCCCATTGGTTTGCTTGTCAGAAGATTGCAAAAGGTGATCACGTGACCCTGGAACACAGCAACGTTCCTAAATATGAACCAGTTGCCAAGAGACCAGATATTGATCACATGAGCATGGGGATGTGGCAATGGTCGTAAATGAAACAGTGTCATAAGTGACTTTTTTCAATACCTCCGTAATAAGCAGTTACTAAACCAATAGTTGTAAGTCGAGGACTGCCTGTTTAGAGATTCAGTGACATCTGGAACATCTAGAAGGGCAGCCCAAATAATATTTAGAAAGGATGATTGCTGCATTTGTTGGTGTTTTCTTCCAATACTTTGCAGGTACTCAAAAGGCCCAGGCATTCACCCAAACTCTGCTGAATGTCCCCTATGGCTCCGGTGAGGGAGAGAAACTGGATGTGTATCTTCCTAAAAAACATATTGAAAGTAAGAGCACAAAGGGTGTGGTGAGGATTCTTAAAGGGGTAGGGTAGGGAAATAGGAAAACAGAGTTTAGAAGACTGGCCTTAGGTAGATGAGTATGGAAATGGCCTTCAAGAATGCAGTTGTCTGGTAAACCCTCAGCCCTGAAAGGAAGAAACTAAAGATTGCTGCGTCTTAATTCTTTTGATGTAAGGTGTGGGAGAGAAAGTCTCTGTCATGCTTTCAATAAACTCCTATTATTATATACTAGACTATTATATACTAGACTATATTATTAACACTAGAACTTCATAAGTCGTCGTGATGATTTCTTGACCTGATCTACCTGTAAGGGGTGATGCTATGCCTGAGATATAGCAATATCACTTGGACTTATATACAGCTTCATAGTGCTTTACAGCCCTAAGCAGTTTAAAGAGTCAGCCTATTGCCCCCAACAATTTGGCTCCTCATTTTACCGACCTCGGAAAGATGGAAGGTTGAATCAACCTTGAGCTGATTAGGATTGAACTGCTGGCAGGCGGCAGAATTAGCCTGCAATATTGCAGTCTAACCACTGCGCCACCACAGCTCAGATAAGATGAACAAAGACGGGGGGGGATGATACATTTGGGGAGAGTTACAGTAGAAGATGCTTTTAATGATTTGTTATCCCATTTCAGCCTTTCCTCTGGTGCTCTATATTCATGGTGGCTACTGGCAATGTTTGAGGTGAGTTATATTGCAGGCTGCAATGTTCCATATTTTCCAATTGCTTCAGTAAGTGGGACTCTGGCTAGAGGAACCTCTTTTTTGATGGAGGACACCTACTATTATAACAACTGATATTTTTTGTTTCTTTCTAGCAAAGATGTTTCCGGGTTTGCTGCATGCCCCCTAGTGAATCAAGGCATTGCCTTGGCTGCAGTTGGCTATGATGTAGCTCCAAAAGGTATGTTATGGTAGCTCAGGTGTATTGCCCACCCTGCTCTCCTCTGACTAACCATGATGTTGTGTTCTCTGCCCAGGGCAGCTGGAGATGATGGTCGAGCAGGTGCGGCATAGTGTGGCTTTTGCAGTTCAGCAATATACAGGGATCAGGTAAGAATGGTTGCTAAAGTTGCATGAGTAATAAACATACAACCTTGAGAAACAGAAGATTGGATTCCACTGATAACCTGCCCAGGTTTAGAACTCAGCTTAATAGATGTTGAGTGATTGACTCCTCAGCCAGTTTTCCCCTCTCTGTCCCTGTCAGCATCTCTTTGTTCATTGTAACCATGTCTCCTTTTCTGGCAGTTGTGTCTACCTGCTTGGGCACTCAGCAGGCGCCCACCTGGCAGCCATGGTGCTATCCACAGACTGGGCAAAATTTGGTGTTCAGCCAAACATCAAAGGTATTGCCTAGGAGAAATTCATCCCGTTTTTCTCACTTTTTTTTGCCTTGTTATTTCTTCAGTTTCTCTTGCTTGAACATCATACATACTGGAATATTAGGTCAAGCTGGAATCCATTTTAAAACAATCCAGATTTTTATTTTAATTGTTAGTTAATTAATTTAATTATTAAGTTAATTTAATAAATTAATTATGGAGTTATTAATTTAATTGTTTTTAATTAGTTGTTAATTTAATTATTTTAATTAATTTGATTATTTTTAATTAGTTATTAATTTAATTATTTTTAATTATTTTTCACCCTAGGTGTCTTTTTGGTGAGCGGCATTTATGATTTGGAGCCCATTACGCACACCTATATTAATGATCCGTTGCACATGAGCCTGTAAGAAACATTCCTAGAACTGTTTAATTTGGGCAGAGCAAAAACATAACAATGGCTGCCAATTCTTCTGGTTGACGTCTGGCAGGCAGTACTAAATTAATTATATACACATGAACAGCTAAAGCTACAGTATTTATATCATCCAGCACAATAGCCCTTTAATTTCCTGAGTGATCTGTAGAGGGAGAAACAAGTATATGACTAAATAATTTAAATCTCTGATTAGTTCACTATCTTTGATTTAGAACTTTTCTCTCTGTTGCCTTCTGTGCATTCTAGGTTTGTGTGCATATGTACCTTTGTGTCTCCTTCATTTGCATATCACGTTGTCTTTTCAGCCAATGTGTCCAAATACTATATCCCAAACACACTGTATATATTCCCACAGCAAGGTTTTTTGAACCCATGGACTTTGTTCTCTCAATTGCATTTAGTGTGATAAACGCATTCAAAAATACAGTTATACATAGAAAGGGCTATTTTTCACAGGTCTGCCCATCTGTCAAAGTCTACCTCCTTTACCTCACTACTCATTTCAATAGTGTGTTTTCTTTCTTCAGTACAGTGGCGCAAGAAAATAGCCCTTTGTTGCATGTGCCAAAGGTGAAAGACGAGGTAGCTTGCCAGGTGCTCATTGCAGTAGCCCAGCATGACCCACCTGAGTTCCACAGACAGTCTCGGAAGTATTGTCAGGTATATTGACTACACACAAGCATCCATTTGAAATGTTGGGATTCAATGACCAGAGAAAGCAGTTAAGGGGAAAAAAATGTGCATGTGCTCTTTTTGTATGGAAATAAAATGCCTGAACCAACATGCAAACATTTTGATCCTTTGGAAATACAGGTGGTCCTCCACTTACAACTGCAACAGAGACCAACATTTCTGTTGTTAAGTGAGACAGTTTTGCCCCATTTAACCACCTTTCTTGCCACAGTTAAGTGAATCACACGGTTGTTAAGTTAATCTGGCTTCCCCATTGACTTCACTTGTCAGAAGTTTGCAAAATGTGACATGACCTCAGGACACTGCAGCCATCATAAATATGAGTCAATTGTCAAGTGTCCAAATTTTGATCACATGACCATGGGCATGCTGTAACAGTTGTAAGTGTGAAAAATGGTCATAAGTCATTTTTTTCAGTGTCATTGTAACTTTGAAGTCACTAAATGAATGGTTTTAAGTTGAGGACTACCTGTATTTCACAAGGGTTTAAGCAAGTATGGCTGATAGTGCCTCCTCTTCAGCCATAACTAATAATTTTAACTGCTTTCTTTCATCTTTTAATTCTATTGTTTACCTTGAATAATCAGTGTGAAATAGTAAGGGGTAAATCAAAGTAGTAATCATGTGTGTGCATTTAAAATTGTATTACATGTATATATCTAAATATAAGACTAAAAATGCATACAGCTAGTCCTCGATGTATAACCACGTGTTCTGTTGCTAAGTGAAACATGTGAAGTGAATTTTGCCCCATTTTACGAGCTTTCTTGTCACAGTTGTTAAGTGAATAACTGCAGTTGTTAAGTTAGTAACTCAGTTGTTAACTGAATCTGGCTTCCCTATTGACTTTGCTTGTAAGAAACTCACAAAAGGGGAATCTCATGACCCTGGGACATTGCAGCCGTCATAAATATGAGGCAATTGCCAAGCATCTGAATTTTGATCACATGACTGTGGGGATGCTACAAAGGTCGTAACCATGAAAAACAATCATGTCACATTTTTCAGTGCCATTGTTACTTTGAATGGTCACTAAACGAACTGTTGTAAGTCGAGGGCTATCTGTATTTGGACCATTCTTTTCTGTTTGGAGAGAGATGCCTAAATAGTTGTCAAATGAGCCGCTTCCATCCTGCCACTTTAACTTCCACAAGCAGATAAATAGATGTGAAAGTGGCCTCTCTCACATAACAGAGGTTCTTTTGTTTGCCGTTTTTTAAAAAAATATCTATTCTACTATCCTGAGATCTACATCATTATTGTTGCTGTTACTTTAATTTCCTTTCTGCCTTTCTACTTGTTGGGTACTCAGAGCAAATGCACTTGTAACTACCATGACGGGAGCCATTTTGTTCACATTCCTGTTGCTTCCCCACAGGCTCTTCGTACAGCAGGTTGGAAGGTCTCTTTGCTAGACCTAGCAGGCACAGATCACTTTGATGTCATTGAGAAACTCTCCCAGGAGAACTATCTCCTCACACAGGTACAGTGGCTAAGAGATTTGGCAGTAAAAATGAAAGCATTTGGGAACAGATTGGATTGAACTTGTGCTATAAACTATGCTTCAGATAGTCATGACATTTAGAAAATAATTGGTCATCATTCACAGACAAATGAAAACAGTAGCTTCTGGACTTCCCATGGGGAAAATGACAGTTGAGATGACATCCCAGCTCTTTTTTTGCTCCCTTTTGCAACAGGAGGACTTCATTCTTCCTCCAGATTGAAGGAGGAAGCTAGGAATCCACTATGCAATTCCTAGACTATTGCTTCTCATGAATAAATTGTAGAAACAGAGGTTTCTCAATTGGCTTGTGAATTGAGTGACAAAGAGGTAGGATCTTCATCGAGTCCACAGTTGCAAAGTAACCAAAATTAAACTCACAAAAAACAACTTTCCTCATTTCTAAATCAGCTTTGGATTTATTTTTTTCTATAGTGAAAGAGAGACTTTATTTGGATCACATAAATACTGGATGCTTTTGTTATTTCTTAAGTTGTGTTTAAATTAAAACATTGGAAACTCTTACTGGCACTTGCTTGGTTCACAAAAAATTGGATATAAAAGAGACTAAAAACATTTAGTCTTTTTTGGGCGGCAAGATTGAGGGCAATAGAAGAAGGGGACGACCAAGAATGAGGTGTCTGGATGGAGTCACTGAAGCAGTTGGCTTAAGCTTAAATGGACTCCAGAAGATGGTAGAGGACAGGAAGGCCTGGAGGAATGTTATCCATGGGGTCACGATGGGTCAGACATGACTTCGCAACCAACAACAACAAAAAACATTTAGACAGAATTACTTTTTAAACTTTTTTTATTTATCTTGTCACCCATTTGTCATATCGAGGAACAAAGAGTTCTCTTTTTTGAATTAAGGGATACAAATATTATATCTTCTACCAGCAGAGTGTGTAAATAGACCATGACTACATGGTGCTAGATGAGGTTGTGGTAGATGAGGTTCCTGTGATAAGCAGGTTCCAGTGGCAGGGATGAAAGAAGCATTTGATGATTTGAGTAAAAGATTGACACAATCTCTGGAAGTGCAATTTAAAATTTGGACAAAAGACTGGAGAAGAATTCAGGGGAAATTAAATAAGTCACTAAGAGGATGGATTTTTTTTAAAAATAGAAAACTAGGGATTTGGAGCTACAGAAATAATAGCTACAGAATGGAGCTAGAGAAATTGAAAATTTTGGCTATGCCAGAACCCAGACAGAAGGAATTCTGTTTGCATTAAGACAAACAGCAAGATATATTTTGGTACATTTCTTGAGGAAAAGAATAGGGGACCAATTTTTGCAACGTAATTTTGAGGCAAGATTGAAATTGAGAATATTGATGTAATTGTTTTAAAGGAGATTCCCATTAGGATCTTGTGCACTTCTTCCTGACAGACATTCTGAAACAGACAATTTTCCATTTTATTAGCGTAAGTTGGAAAGAATAATTGTTAAATGAGTTTTGTCCCATTTTATGATCTTTTGTGCCACAGTTGTTAAGTGAATCACTGCAGTTGTAAGCTTCACTTAACAACATGGTTTTGTTGAGGATTATCTGTATTATTCTAATTTGTATAAAACACAATCACCAGGAAAATTTGGTGGAACAAAATTTATCAAAACTTTCATAATCCCAGAGAAAATTGTGAAGATTCCTATACCAACTATGGACATATTGGTAGCTATAAGAAAGATTAAAACAGAGTAGGCACCAAGACCAGACAGATTACTGGTTCTTATTGTCAGCGTTTTTAAATATCAACTTTTGGAACCATTTCAGAAAATGATGAATTTCATTTTACAGTTTGCAGTTTGTCAAGTCCATTTTATAAAACAGCAAAGAATCCTATACTCACAGGCCCATTGCAAAGACCAGTGGGAACTTATTATTCCTGCAAGAAGAAAAGAAATACATGTATTTATTCCTTCTGTTCCAGGTGATTCTGAACATGATTTCAAGTGGCTGAAAGGAACAACAATCCTGAAAGGAACAACAGCTGTCTGCCTGCTGTGTTCTTCTCCACTGTCTTTCCACTGAACTCCTTTAGGTCAAACAAGGACTGAGCTTCCTGCCCCTTTCTTTTCTCAGCTGCAGATGTATTGAGACCAGAGATATCACGTGGAACTTTTAAACAGCCCACCTCAGCTCTCACACTGTGACATCTATTATGGCTTCCGAGATGAAAAGCAATAAATAAAACCAGATCCTGAATTACATCTTTATCATAGTTGTACATTACTTGGCCCACTGGATGTAATTTGGGAATGAATCTGTCAGCAATACCAAATTGCTGCATAAATTACTTTTCTTTATTTTGCTTTAGTCTCAAACTGCAGGTTTATTTTCTTCCCTTTGAACAGCATCTGCAGATGATGTTCTGGGTGCATTTAAAGCCATGATGGTCAGAATAATAAAACTATGAGTTAGCTCAGTGGTAGCTGTTCTTTTTGCTTATGGCTCCCTATGCATTTGAGGACTATTATATGTCTTCATAAACACTGGAAAGAATCATCCAGCCCATTTTCCTCCTATCTCAAAGCAATCTTTGTTAGGAAATTATTGGGGCTAATTTTCAGTTTAGTTTGCAACTGGATCAATCTTAGCTAATCTTTGCATCTAGATCAGAGCAAGGACATAGCCACTCAGTCTAGTTAGCAAAAATATAGTTAGTATCGATGTATTAAATATTAGCAAACACTAGAAAAAGTTGACCAGCAAAAACTGGAGAAAAAGCAGACAAAGACAGGAAGAGAGAAGAATATCAAGCAAGTATTTACATTTGTAATTGGACCTCTAAACTGCAATTCAGGGCAAGTTTACCAGAGAACAATGTAAGAGCAAGAAAAAATAATAAATTTTAAAGAGTTAGCGGGGCGGTGGGGGGGAAGCTACTTGGGTACCTTTCTTTAAATATCACTTATATTTTTGCTGTACATTGTACTCATTCTGGCTAGCATATCGTACAATCTGAAAAAAACTAAAACATTACATTACTTTAACGTTATTTTTAAAAGGAAGATATCAGATTCATGTGATTTCTTATGAATACTCATGATTTGTATATGAGTCATCTGAGATCACTATCAAAGCACAGATCACAGCTATCTGCAAAGAATGAACAATAGTCACTGTAGAAAGTTAGCACTCACCCCTCTCCTAGAAGAATGAAATATTCAAGGAAATATTAAAAAGGCAGAATATTATATTTCCTTGGATGAAGAAAAGGAGAAACATATTTTAAAGACAAAGCAGCTTCCTGCAGTCCCTACCTCCCCTTCGGCTCCAGGGTGATGGGATTAAGACATGGCCCTCAGGAAATGATAGGATTACCCATCTCACCACATGGCACCTGGGAAGATTGCAGTAGCCAGCACTCAGGTGAAGCCATGTGGTCCAGACAAAGTCTACAAAGTTAGCTAAGACCCCCGCCCCTGGGAGTCTGACAGTCAGTGGGATACATTTCTTACACAGGAACAGGAAACATTAAGATAGGGCCCAACAGAGGGTATGAAACCAAGGGATTTTCAGCATCCCTTCTCTTTTCACCCAGGAATTCCAAGGAACGTGGTCCTGTCCTATATTAACATACTCCAAATACCATTTTCTGATTGGTCCACACATACTGCAAGACGATTGGTTAACTAGACTGCAGTGATTGGTTCGATATGAATCAACCGCGATTGGCTGGGCTGATCATGGGAGATTCAAAGAACTGTCATTGGCTGGCGAGCCACGAGCAATCCCTATATGAAGGGCTGCCACGGCTCCAAGATCTTGTACCGATCTATACATGAAATAAAGAGCTGAAAAAAGTCACACTGGTCTCGAGTCTCTCTTTCCCAACCTAACACTGTCCACCATTAAACCATCTTTCTAAACAGCCTCCATGTTTCCAGTCTCTTTTTCCCCACTTGGAACTGAACCCAGAAGGATATTTGTTCCAACATCACCATTCCAAATCTTTTTCATTCCATTATAGCCTTTAATTTAATTTAAATTTCAAATGGATCCTATGCATAACTGGGAAGATTCAAAAGGATCTGCTTCTTGAATTCGTGTTTTTGCATTGCATCTCTGCCAGAAATTCCTTCCCTCCCTCCCCCATAGATCTACTTTCCCAGCCTTATTGACAGTAAAAGGTTGGATTGCTAATTCAACCTTAAACGGATGTTGTTCTTGTACAAATATATGTGATTTGTGTTTTTTATGGCAATTTCAAATGGATCCCACTTGAATCTTGGAATCCTGAGGATTTATCTGAAATTTTTTAGAGAGCATTGCCAAGGGAAAGTCTTTGAATTTACGTACATTTATTGTATTCACTCAGAAATTAATTATATGGTGTTTAGTAATGTTAAGAAAGTAAATTTAAGTTCCAGGTGAACTCAATTTATTGTGACTGGGGATCCACAAGTAATTTTCTGGGCCATAATACAGTATAAAAATGGTTTATGATTGAGTGCTTGATAGCCTTTTTCAAATTCTTAGGCTAGTGGCTAGCCAACCCTACCCAACCCTAGTTAACTTTTTATCAAGGGCAGCAAGGTGCTGCCATGTACTGTACTTTTCTGGGCATTACCAAGATTTGTACTGTGCTGTTAACACTAAAACAATGACTTGTTCATAGTTAAGGGCCACAAAAACCTCCGCTCTTAACTGAGGCACCAAATACAAAAAAAAGTGGAGTTTTTCAATTTGAAATGACAACTTGGAGATCTAGTTTTGCTTTACCCTTGTGGTACAACAAAATCAGCAAGGGGTTTAAAGGGCCATTTTTCTAAAAGGTGCTGCCGATATAGAAGCGCTTTTTAAATTGTAAAACAAAGGTCGTTCTTTGCTCATGGCGATCGTAATAAGAACTACGCTTCCCAGCATGTTCAGCGCTCACGGGGGCGCGGCATACACGACGCCAACGCTCAATTTCCCGTCATGCCCCGGGAAGCCTTTTTTTTTGTTTTTTTGTTTTTCTCCTTTCCCGCTGCAGTTTGAAAGCGCCGGCAACCATCATGTTTCTCGGGGAAGCAAAACGGCGGGTCCCGCCGGGCCTCGAGTTGTACTTGAAAGAGAACCGTCTCGCCACGTTTACTGAGTGGCCCTTCGTCTCCGACTGTTCCTGCACTGCGGACAGGGTGAGGGGCTCGTTTCTCCCAAGCCCTCCCGTGGGGTCCCTCTTCTCTCGGGGGTGGGAGACTTGTTTTCCTTGGAAGTGACTCTTCTTCTGTTTAATGGGCTTTTATTCCCAAGCACATCTTGTAGGAATTAAGATCACGCGAAGTATCAGTGCCGCTTTATAAAAACCCTACTAAGACCACACCCGGAATGCTGCACTAACTACAAAAAAAAAAAAAGATGTTGAGACTTTGGAGAAAGTTCAAAGAGCAACTAAGATGACCAAAGGCCTGGAGACTAAAATACACGAAGAACGTTTGCAGGATTTGGGTTTGGCTAGTCTAAAGAAAGTAAGAATTAGGGTTGACATGATAGAAGTATTCCAGTATTGGAGGGGCTTCCACAAAATAGGGGGTCAAATTATTCTTCAAAAGCACCAGAGGGCAGGACAACAAACAATGAATGGAAACTGCCTGTTAGGGACTGGGGTGCACAGCTGGGGATGAATGGCATGAAGAGCAAGCAAAACTGAAACCATCTCTCCCCCCACCCATCCATGGAAAAATTGTCTCCCACAAAACTGATCCCTGGTGTCAAAAAAGATTGGGGACCACTGGGCTAAAATATGTAGCCATGTATAATTAAATAATGAGAACCAGTAGTGGCTAAGATGCATGATTAGGAATGGTGAGACCCAAGCATTAGTTTTCTCCTAAACCAGGAAGTCAAAAGGCATCAGTTCACAATTGAATTGGACTAGAGTGTTTGATTATAGTCCATAACCTTCAGTGAAGAGGTCTATATATTTCAGTGGATTGATACAGGCTAATCACAATGCTAACCTGTTATAGAACATTTTAAAAGTGTGCTTAATATTTTTTAATTTATTTTACTTATCTTGCTTCCTATTTGAATAGTTTTATGTATGTGCATTAGTATGTGTATTATCTTAGAAATTTGAAATAAAACTGTACACATAAAATATTACTATTCTTTTCCTGTTCTTCTCATATATTTGTAACAGAGTAGATTCAGAAGTTATTTAGAATCAAGGAGACTTGTAGTGAAATCGTTTTTCAGTTGCAGCCCCTCCAATTTCAGAAATAAGATGTGTAACCTGAAATGTATAACTTTGTTGAATACTTTTTCTCATTTGTCTTGCTCTGTCTCTTCCCCCTTTCCCAAATCAGATGGCTGAAGCTGGATTCATTCACTGTCCTATTGAAAATGCTTCTGATGTGGCACAATGTTTTATATGCTTTAAAGAATTAGAGGGATGGGAACCTGATGATGATCCCATGTAAGTACTTTGGAATTATTATCCTAAGACTTTTAATGATGCCAAATGAGTTTTAGCAAAGAAAGCTCAACAAATATACTTAGGTGATCTTGCAAAACATTGTATTTCATTTCTATAATTAAGGATAATAGAGGCAATGATAGAATTGTACTAGATATTAATAATTTATTATGTTGTCCACTCTTTTTCCATAGTACTGTTAAAGCCACACCAAAGCAAATTAAGCCACCTGTCAAAGACGGGTTCAACATCTCTATCTGATTATTAGTTGTATGGCTGACAATAATTGTTAACATGATTAGCTAATACTTTGCAGTCAGTACAGCTGACTTCCCTTTCTGAGTGGAAGGTTTGCACTCAAGCTTTTTCCCCTTTTTTCACTGAAGTAACCTGGAATCTTGACTATGAATTTACACAGTCCAGAAAACTCTAGAATATCTAGAGGGATGTTTGTAAGGGTTTCTATATATCCTGTCAGCTGACCCTAAATTCATGTGCAACATCTGTTTTTTCATGAGGCCTAAATTGGCAAGGCCCAGAAAAGGCTGGCATAAAAGTATATTTTCTGAGCTTTTTGAAAACATCTAGCCTGTTTCGAAATCAATTTGACCAAAAAAGAGAATGCAGATATTAGGCTTTCTCTAGAGCAGGGGTCACCAACCTTTTGGACCTCAGGGACCACCAAACTCATAATTTTAAATCCTAGGAACCACTAACCAGTTCTGTGGGCATGGCCTAATTTGTGGGTGTGGCTTGATGGTCATGTGACTGGCTGGGCATGGCTTGTATGTAAATATTATAAATATATAAATATTGAATTTTTTATTAAAAAAGAGCAACTTTTACCCAAAATCAGGCAAAGCAAGCAGGCAGATTGAGTTGCTCACAGAATCATTCAGAGATCTATCTATCTACCATTGGCTAGCTCAGTCTCTCAAATTTGCTTGCCGTGAGTTTGCACTGAATAATAGAATCTTCAGTCCTAAGGGAGGTTCGGCTGTGCTTAAAAGCAGAGCCGAAGATCTAAAGACAAGCTAAAAAGCAAGAAATCCAACCATTTCCTGCTTCCTAGCTAATCTAAATCTCCCGGCACAGCAGAACAGATGATGGTCGGAAAAAGGAAAAATAGCAATTTAGCAGGCAAGTTTTCCGGGTAAGGAGTGAGTGGGCCGGGAGGGTTCCCGAGGGCCTTGTGTTTCTGCGCGGCCTAGATAAATTGCTTGGGGGGTGGGGGTGCTCTGGGGGTGAGATTTCTCTGCGGCCCACCAAAATTTTCTTGCAGCCCACCGGTTGGTGACCGCTGCTCTAGAGCTAGCTAGGCTGGGATAATGGGTGATGAGTCATGACAAAGTGTATGTCACTACTTTCTATGCTTCAGCCACAGAAATAAAGTAATCAGAAAGGCAACCAGCCCTTGGGAGCTGTTGCTTCAAAATGCACCATGGTGATGGCCCCTTGGGAACAGTGAGAGGAACTCTGGGGTCTCGGCCCCTGATTTAATCCAGTTCATAGATGGGAACACAAGAAATGTTCCAGTCTTCTGACCGCATCATTGTCATATATAATAGCTTTCTGCGTAAGCTTGCCTGAGCCTCTTCCAAAAGTGTTATACATTTTATCCAGTTATAAACATAGGTTTTATGGTTGCAACAGTGCCACGGGAAGATTGTTATTTATTCTATTCTTTCCATAAGAATTCAAAGAACAGTTAAAACAGTTCATTTAAAAGGATAGTCTGGTCCTAGAGCAATTGTTACTCTACAAATATAGAAATGGAACATAAGATAGAAGGGAAGGCAGCCATACATACTCAGAAAGAATTCCAGATAATCTGGCTACCAAAAGTCCTATTTCTAGCTCCAAGATGCAAGTCAATTTCCCAAGGGACCAAGAGCAGAGTTTCCCCACCTGACATATGTACAGGTTTGGAGGAAAATAGTTGTTTAATAGTAAATGGATGGACAGAAAGGTTGCATTTGGGGAGGTGGGGGGCATGAGGTCCAAATTAGGAAGGCATTCTTCACATGCAGTATGCTTGCTAATTAATTGCCTTTAAAAATCCACTGCATCATTATGACTTGTATTTCAAATTTCTAGGGAAGAGCACCGTAAACACTCTCCCAAGTGTGCATTTCTTGCTCTACAGAAAGACATTTGTGACCTGACAATACAGGAATTTATGAAACTTCGTAAAGAGAGGATGAACAATTTGATTGTGAGTATAACTTGCAAGGAACCGTTAACTTAGCTTGAGTAGTCTCATCAGTGTGCAGGAATTTGGTAGTACCTTTTCAGATTAACACATTTTATTAAAGTGTGAACTTCAACTCATTTCATCAGATGCATGAAATGCCAAATTGATACAAGAATTAAATTGGGACAAAGCAGGGAATGGAAGGAGGAGGAGAAGACGGACAGGTTACTCGGATATAGGGTACATGCAATATAGTTTATACGTTTCTTATTGCATAATACGAAATTGTGTAATAAGGAATAAAATTGTGTTGTATTAAAGTCTACTGTATTTGTTGAGACATCCTGAGCTAGCTTGAAGCCTTTTGACATACCCTGTTTAAGTCACCCCCAAAAAGACGGCCTAGGCATTTTTTCGGGGCTCAAAAAAAAAAAAAGACCCAGCCTTATTATATGAGAAACATGGTATGTGCGTTCAGCAATCTCTGATTCAATAGTGCTGCCAAAGTTTTTTTTCTCCAAAACTGCTACTTTAAGACCTGTAATGGAGTATCTTGTGTAGTTAAAACTTTGCCCTTGTTCTGAGTCATGCATTTGGTAAAGGAGAAGTAATAAAGATGCTTACAAGACTCCTTTTAATTTTTTGGCTATCATAAATTATTGTGGCTTTCCTTCTAGAATTACTCTGCTTTCCCTATTGTATTATAGGGGTCATATGGCTACATAATCTTATGTCCTAATTTAGCTACAGTGTGTAGGCCAGTTTGTTACTGGCTGAATTCTATCTCAAAGTGAATTATTTAAGTACATTTCTCTTTATCAGGGTAAGATTCCCTATATAGCTTTTTTCCTATAACCCAATAGCTGCCTATTTATTAATAGGAATGTGTATTTTTAATTTTCTTCTAGGAAACAGAAATTAAGCACACAATTATCGAGATGGAGAAATATGCTAACCTGATCCGTGAAAAAATAGATGATCTGCGTTCTATATGCCATTAGATGATGTGGGCTTTTTGAGTGTCTAAATGGTATTGAGCAAAATCAAAAGTTGAATTGCTCAAAGTCTGCTGTTCAAGTTTATGTTAAGTTTCTTTGTAGTTACTTATTATGGAATTTCTTCTGATGCATTTATGAATAAATGCTCCTTTTTATAAAATACCATGTTTACCATGTTTTAATAGTTTCTTGGGCAAAATTGTTTGAAGGCACTTTTCCCAGTGTTTGCTTGCAGACATTGCTCTCAGGTGCTAAACGAAGCTGTAACCCATTCTTTTTTAAAAAAGTTTTTTATTTTGTAACAAAGACAAATAAATAAAACCATCTTTCCATTCAACAGTGTGTCGGCTATTCTACCTGTTAATGATAGCTGTAAATTTTTCCAAGTCTATCACAATCCGTTGTTCCAATCTATCATAATTGTCCTCTTTAAGTGTGCTGCATCTAGCTGTCATTTGTATCCCTAAGTATTTCACTTTTTTGTAATTTGAATATTTAATTTGTCCATTAATCTTTTGTTTTTCTGTCATTTTTCACCCAACATCTTTCTTTGTTCTTTATTTATTTTCAGTCCTGCTACCTTGCCAAATTCCTCTATTTCTCCAATCAACTTAGGCCCTGTTTCCAATGGATCTTCCAGTATAAAAACCAAATCATCTGCAAAAACTTGTAGTTTATATTCTTCTTTTTTAATTTTCATTCCCTTTATTCATTTTTCCTAATATTCCTATTCAATACTTCCAAAGTCAATACAAACAGTAGTGGGGATAGCGGACAGCCCTGTCTAGTTCCTTTTTAAATATTAATATTTTCTGTCAATTCTCCATTTATCATTACTCTTGCTATTTGCTTACTATATATCGCCTTCATTGCTTTAATAAATTATCTGTGAAACCCATCTCCTCCAGCTGCATCAACATAAATTGCCAATTCATGTTATCAAACGCTTTCTGTGCGTCTAAAAAGACTAATGCCATTTGTTTCTCTGAGTGGTAGTATTCCAATGTATTCAAAATTATTCTCACTGTTTTTTATTTGTCTCTTAGGCAGGAATCCATTTTGGTCTGAGTGTATAAAATGAGTTAAATATCTTTTAAGTCTTTGCCATCATTAAAGTGAATATTTTATAGTCAGCATTTAGCAAAGATATTGGTCTATAATTTTTTATTTGTTGAGGTTCAGTATCTTCTTTTGGTATAAGTGACATATGCCTCTGTCCATGAGTCAAATACTTTATTTTTTGTCAAAACCTCATTCAGTACTTCAAGCATTGTAACAAATATTGATTCCTGTGTTGTCTTATAAAATTCAGCTGGTAGCCCATCCAGGCTAGGAGCTTTTCCAGTGTTTTGTCTATTTATTGCTTCTGTCAGTTCCATCATTGTTATTTTCTCATCTAACATAGTCTTTACTTCATCAGATATTTTTGGTAATTCTGCCTTTTGTAAATATTGCTGAACTTTCTTTTCTGGTATTGTCTCTTGGTCATATAGTTTCTCATAAAACCTTTGCACTATTTTTTTTCTTCTCTTCGTTTCCATAACATAACATACCATTTTCTGCTAGTTATGGTATTCTTTTTAGTACTTTTTCACTCTTTAATTTATATGTTATCTACCTGGATTGTTTGCATTTTCAAAATAGTTCTGTTTAACTCCTCTAATCTTTTGCACCAGTTCTTCTTTTTCCATTAATCCTATTCTATGTTTAATTATATCCATTTGACTTTTAATGTTTTTGTATTGTGGGTATTGTAACTCCCTCTCCAGTTTCTTGTAGTCTCCTTCTAAGGTCTGTTGTATTTTTCTCTTTTTAATGTTCCTTCTTCTTGCATAAGCTATAAACGCACCTCGAGTATATTCTTTTATCGTGCCCCATACATTTTTTAATGAGGTTGTCTCTGGTTTATTTTCTTGAAAGAAAAGGAGGCCAATTCTTTTTCTATATTATCAATAAATTCTTTTTCTTTCAAGATTGAATTGTTCAAAGTCCATCTTGATCTTTTCCTCTGGTCCTTCCATTTGACCCTTATTGGATTATGATCAGCCCAAGTGCTTATATTAATATTTGCTTCCTGCATGTTAGGAATTAAGTCTGTTGACATCTAAATCATATCTATTCTTGACCGTGATAAGTGCCTATTTGAATAAAATTTAAATTGTCTACTTTTGCCATTCAACTCTCTCCATATATCTTTAATACTCAACTCCTCTACCATCTTAAGAAACGATTATGGTAATGTTCTTTTTTTTTTGTTTCTTTTCTGTGTTTTGTAGTCCAGTTCAGCATCTACAATCACATTAAAGTGTCCAAGAATACATATCATATTCCAATTCAATTATTTTTTATGTAGTTTCTTATAAAATTCATCTTGCTTGTTATTTGATGCATATATTGTGATTAAGAGTATCTTGGAGTTGTTATCTATTTTTCAACCATTAGTATTCTTCCTTCTTCATCTGTAGGTTAACTTGGCTTTAATTGTATTTTTAATATATAATACAACAACTCTTTTCTTTTCTTATGCCAGTGATATGTATAAATTGCCAATTCTAGGACAGTTCATCAAGTATGCATACTGCTTTTTGATATGTACTTCTTGTAAATAAATTATATCCATTTTTAATTTTTCTAGTTTGCGAAATATTTTTTTCCTTTTAATAGCCGAATTTAGTCCATTTATATTTATAGAAACTAATTTCTTTCCCTCTTCCATGATTTATACTTTATATGTAGGATTTATTGCTCTCGTTGTTCTTTGTTCTCTTGGTTTTCTAACTGCCACTTTACCACCTACTGCTCCCTCTTCCTGTTCTCTTTCCTCTTCCCTTCCCTTCTCCATTTCTCTTGTTATCTCTGCTCGTATTTTAAGTTCCTCTTCTCTTGCTCTCTCATCTTCTGCTCCTCTAAAATGTTCATTGTAGAATAGTTCTGCTCTCTTAACTGAGTCTATTCTATGTCTTTCTTCTCGCCAAATAAACGTCAAGCCTTCAAGGATCAACCATCTGTAATTCACTTTTTTCTTCATTAAAATCTTTGTCAGGAATTGGTATTCTCTTGGATCTCTCACTTTCCTTGGAATTTGTTTCAGTGCTATGATCTCCTTTCCCTTGAACTTCAATATGTCATCTCTTGCTTTTTTGTAGTATCTCTGTTCTCATTGTTTTCTTAGTGCATCTCACATGTTCTTCTCTGGGTAGTTTATTTCTCATCGCATTTCTTGTATATGCTTGATATATTTCATCCATTCCATCCATTTTTTCTTTAGTTATTTCCAGAGGTCCTGCCAAAATTTCTGTCATAATTTCTGTGAGATTTTCTCTTTTTCTTCCTCAATACTTTGAAATCTTAAATAGAAACCAGCTTTTTCCAACTCCCAAAGTATTGAATCTTTCCCTTTTTCGTTTTCAACCTTTGTCTGTTGTCTATTTCTCCTACTTTCTTATCTGTTTTATCCCCTCTTTCCTCCATCTTCTGTATTTTTTCTCCATGTATCGTTATCATTTGTTGTATATTTAGTTGTGTTTTCATCCATTTTCCCCATTCTTTCTTCCATTCTCTCAATTCTGTCATCTGTACATTTCCCTTGAACTTGTATTACTTGGAACATTAACTTTATTTCTTGCATTGAAGTTTCTTTTTCCTTTTCCTGTTGAAGCATAGTTGTAATGGATCATTGACCAGCTGGGCTTGGGGAATGAGAAGTAGGAATCGATGATCCAGTGGCAGTTATCTTTCTCATATCTTATTTAGTTATAATCCACTCGCAGGGGATTCCCTCCCCAAAAAAGAAAGTGAATAATAAAGTCTTCAGGTTCTTCTCTATCTTAATCCAGTTCTATCCAATAGGGATGGATGTAAAAAAAATCCAATAATAAAAAGAAAAACTATAAATCCAAAAAACAGATAGAGTAATATTGTACAAAATCCAAAGAATCTAATGTAAAAGAAAAGAAATTCCAATAAAAAATTACAGATCCATCCACTTCTACATAGAAGAGGAAAAAGAAAGAAAAACAACAAAAATAGAGGGAGAGCAAATCCACTTCTTAGTCAAATAGTTGATAAAAAAAAATAGAAAAAGGAACAGGAAAAGGAAAAAAAAAAGAGTTCAATACTCCAAAATAAAGCCAAGCTGAGGAACTGGAACAGAAAAAAAGAAGAAAAAAAGACCAGCGTACACACCAGCAGAAGAGAAAAAATAAATAAAAATAGTATCAGCTGTAATTTATAAATCCATGTCACAAAATAAGCCAAAGTCTCAGTGTAACATCCAGCAAGCCAAAAAGCCAAAATTCAAAACGTGTATTATCCAAGGTCACAGTGGTTTTTCTTTCCCTTGCCTTAATCAACTTTTCGGTTGTTTACAAGATGTGTGAGAGCAGCACCTGTATCCAGCGCTCACTCCCTATCTTTTCCCACTTCCAAACAACCTATAGTCAAAATAACTTGTTCTTCATCTTTAAAGTCTATTATTATTATTTTCTGTGACCTCTAGATGGCAGTGTTGTTTAGCTTTCCCCTTCACTTTCTCCTGGTTACACTGTATCCATGTGGTTTAAAAAGTAAAAGTAGTTAGGAATAAAAGAAGCAAAGTACTCCAGAGGCTTTTAACTTGTAAGCAAGAGTTCAATTTCTTCTCAAAATTATTATTTTAAAGTCCAATCCAGTCCAGTTAGTCAAAGGTAAAAAAGAAAAAAAAATATTTAAAAAATAAGAATTCCAAATAAGAGTTGACAGTTCCCCATATAATTCGCTGCTATACTTTTAGGTCTTCTTTCTTTAGTAATTCTTTTCCCTTTAGGGTACCCTTTTATCTCTGCATAAAAAAGAAAGTTCCCACTCAAGCCGACACACCATCTTCTGTTCTTCTTTCGTTCCAGGGCTGGCACAGTTTAGCGGCTTGAGACCAATGGCTGCTTCCCATCGCTGCTGGGCCGCTGGAGCTCCTGGATCAATCAGGGACTTTGCGGTGTCCCTGAGATCGACAGGACGTGCTCTTTCTACTTACCGTCTCTTCGGGACGGTTCAGGTCCACTGGGACCATCCGGTTTCAGGGGTATCAGCGGCTTTCTCAAGCCCCTCCCTCCCTCCTAACCCATTCTTGAAAACAGGATCAACTGAGAAAAGTGGGTTAACTGCATTCTTAGGAAGTTGCTTTATTTTGCTTATGTCTTTGGTTCTTTACAATGGTCATCCTCAAAGGGGGTAGTGTAAAAGTGCAGGCTGCTTTGAAAAAATGCGCACACTTGTATTGCATTCTTCATCTCCTATGTAGCCTTCCCCCTACATCAGCACTGTAGAATTGCAACCTTTGAACAGATATAGGTGGAGATAGGGGATGTGCCTTTTGGAAGCAAATTGAAAAGCAGCTGAACAAAAGAAGACATTTTCCCTTCAAGGTAGTGAATAATCCAGAGGAAAAGAAGCACAGCAAAAATAGTGGCACATCAAGGAAAAGTTAGGTACAAAAGCATAATATGGAAAATCGCAAATATTCTACACGCTGGCCAGTAATAGGAAAGAAAAAAGCAAAAGAAATTCTAGAGAGGAATTAAAGCAGACCTGTGCTAAATATGAAAAGTGCTTTATATGCTCTATTTCAACTGCTTCACATCTACATCTCAATAGGTGATCTAAATCTGATCTTTGTAATACCTCTTCATTAGTGATGCGGTTATGATATGAGACACAAAGTCTTCTTCTCAAACAGCATTGCTGGAAAACATTTAACCATGTAACCATCTTGATTGTACACTTCCATGTTTCACAAGCATATATTGGAAACTCTTGAAGAGTTTTACCTTTGTGGTAATACATATATCTAACATAGATCAAATTGGCTGCAACCATTCCAAGTCAATATAAGTAATGTCCTTAGCTATGCCTCCACTGATAAATATAATGCTGCCAAGTTAAGTAGATGTTGGACTTGTTCTGTAGCCTGGTCATTGACTGTTATAGGCATATCCCGAGCACTTCTGATTTGCATAAACTTGGTCTTCTCAAAATTTATATGTAAGCCAATTTTGTTGACCTCGTTATCTAAACTGGTGATCATTTTGTGCAGAGCATGCCTTTGTTTCCCCAAGCAGTGCAATGTCATCCACAAAATCTAAACCTGTTAGATTGCTTAACCATTGCTCTATGGGTAACAGAATCCAAGGAGAGGAGAAAGAAGAATGGTGATAGTATACATCCCTGTCTTACTCCTGTATTGATGTTAAAGAAGGCTGTGTTGCCACATTCCACAGTAGTTAGAATTATAATACAGGCTCTTAAAGACTGATGAAATTATGTGGAATGCCATAGGACATTACAATATTCCGTAGTGTTTCTCGATGAATCGACTCAAAAGTCAATAAAATTGACTACCCTTGGCTTCTAGTATTCTAAACTGTGCTTGATGATATTTCTTAAGGTCAGGATCTGGTCATTACAAGAGTGTCCTTTTCTGAATCCTGTTTGTTCTTCATACAGGTATGCATCCACTTGATGCTGCAGTCTCCTGAGCAACACAAGGTATAGAACTTTTCCAGGGACTGATAGCAACATTATACCCCTCCAGTTATTACAATCACTGAGGTTCCCTTTCTTTGGTATTTTAATTATTACTGCCGCACCTCCAGTTTTCCAGTACACATTATTAGCGCCAACAGCTGCTTAATCAAATAGGTAGCTTTTCTACTAATCTGTCTCCACCATTAAGAGCTCTATGGATATCTGATCCAAGCCATTTGCTTTGTCATTTTTAAACAACCATATAATGTCCTGGACTTCAGTAATTGTCATTGGTTCCATACTAACCTCAAGGTCCTCTGGTTGTGCAATGTTGATAAAATCATACATTAATTGTGATGTTGATTCACAATTATGTCATTCACTCCTTGGTAAACAATATTGCTCTAGACTACCTTTTCAAAGGTTTAGGAAAAATGGAAAGGGTGTTAATTTCTATAAATGATGGTGGTTAAAATAGATGTGGGATTTAGTTGCTTGCCAAATAGCTAAAGAGTACTGATTTTACTTCATTTGTAGATCTTAAAATATCGGATTCTGTTGGGAATTGAATGATGTGATTGACCAGTTAATTGTGCCCCTCAAAACAAGAACTGCTCTATCACTGTAACTTAAAATGGATCCTGTTCTTCAATAATTAACAATATTACAGAGAAAAACCAGTCCAGTTGTAGTTGAAAGCTTGTGGTATTATCAGTACTAATAACAGCCACACAATATACAGTATATTCAGACAAAGCATTCTTTGAGTAATCCAAAAGCTTTATTGCAAGAATATTTGGTATTGTCAGGTCTGGCAGGTGAACAACTATTTTGTAATAAGTGTCTGACTTCTATTGTTCCTTTAAAAATTCACTTTTCAGGTAGAGATGGACAAAAAAGGCAACAGGCAGGCCACATATTGCTTTGGCTTTGTTTAGTAGGAGCTGATATATATATATATATATTTTACTACAGCAGGCAGCCTTCTTGTACAACATCTCCAGCATGACCAGAAATTACCCACATTGCGGGATTGTAAAGTTCCCTCATACTCTTGCAAAGCTTATCAAGCGAAGTAAACAGCTTGGAAAGGGTTGAGAGCATTCCTAATGACCTCCAACAATGGTTTGCAACGGGCAGCATTCTGAGTTTCCTAGAATGTTAACTATGCTCTGAAACCTTAATAGATCGATCCCTAGTGCAACTGCAATACAATTGAAACAAAGGCACTGCAGTTTCTTGATACATTTGCACTAATTCATACCACAGTAGGATATTTCTAATGCAACCATCTTTCAGTTCAGAAAGAGCCCTGTAGCTAGACAGGGTGGAGCCTCTCCACCACCAGTGGCAAGTTTTTGGATGCCGCTGAAGGGCAGTGAATCAACAATTATTTTGGATTCTGGTATTGAAGGTTTAGTGATTGATGGAAAAGGATATTGAATTTTCCATTTCAGGCAAAGCATCTTTTAGTTTTTTCAACTAATTGTAAGGTGGCAACACAGAGTGTTTGTTCGGACGTATTACTGCCTTTGTGAATGGCACTTTGCAAGCCTCTTGAATCCTTTCTGTGTAATTCTAAAGCACTCAGAAAAAGTGGAAAAGAGAAATGCGCTTACTTCAATTATTGATATATTAGAGCAATTGGAACATAATAGGAATTAGGGAGATTAATGGCTCCTCAGAAACAATGAGTTTTGGGGAGAAATTTAAAGCACCTTCTATTTGGTTAGCATGATTGCTGCAGATGTTTCAAATTGAATATAGGGAATGAACACAAGAGGATGGGGACATCTTGGGAGAAACTTGAGAAGTGCAGCTGAAATATTTTGAGTCTGACAACTATTTTTGAGTTACCATGTTTACTAACCCAGATAAATGGATAATTCAATAAACAAAATCAATATAGTATAAAACCATAGCTTGGTATGACCTGAGAATCCAAACTTTATAAATATTTTGGGTACTTCTGAGGTGTTTTAGTGCTTTGAAGTTTTGCTCACTTCAGACAGTAAGTTCTTTTTCTTGCTATTATCCTCCTCTATTTCCTAATGTTCCCATAACTAATAATTTCCTTTGCTTGATCACCTGTAGCATTATTGTCCCAATCAGAAAAGATTAGAGTACCAGGGAAAATGCTTCTTTCAAATTTTGCAGTTTTATTCCAAGGATGATAGTAAAGTAATGTGTTATGGGTCTCTGGATTAAAGGTGAGAGAGAACCCCTCAGCCTCAACCCGTCTTAACACACTTTTCATCTCGAAAGGCATAACCCCCCCACCCCCCACCCAAAAACCTGACCTGGACATTCCATCCCAAGTTTTAGGGTGTTGTATGGCTCTCAATTATATTTCTAGATGGAATGGAAGTAGATGAAAAATGAACCGGGGAGATTCTGCCACCAAGTAACACCTAGTCGGGTTTCCAAGATCTGATTTCGCCGTCCAGTGGCGCAGACTCTCTTTTGGGTGAAGCTGGGGTCTGCTCTTTTGCCCATAGACGCGCTCTTCGTCCTCTTCCCCAGTTTGAAGGATGAAAGCCGGCAGCAACTGCTTGTCTTCAATGGACTGAGCGACTCCGGAGCCTTCCTCTCTCGTGGGCTCCTCAGAGGTCACTTAGAAGGCAGAGCCGCGTCCCCAAAGGGGGCGTCTTTCTCTCTTTCTCTCCCTCTCCCTCTGTCTGCAGCTTCTCGGCTCCTGCTCTCGCCGTGCTGGAGACTGGGTCATGGCACCGAAGTGCGGGGCGTCTCTGTCCCCCGGCACGCTCTGTCTGGCCGCTGCGCTCAATGGGCTACTCAGCTTCGGCTTCTTGGCCGCGGCCATCGGCACCGACTACTGGTACTTGATCCACGTGGACGGGGCTGGGCGCAACGGCAGCGGCGCTCGGGATGGCGAGGAATTGAGTTCTCACTCGGGGCTCTGGCGACTCTGCGAAGGTAAGAAGAGATGGGGCAGCCTCGCTTGCTCCTTGCCTGCCGGTGCCGCCGTCCCATGCCATCTCCTGGGCGTGGGACTGGGACTCCGTGGCTGTTTGATCCGGGCGATCTGTGGCGTCCGTCCATCCGTCCATCCATCCATCCATCCATCCAGGCGGCGGTGTTCAGCCTATGCGGCAGGGAAAACTGCATCCTCCTAGGAGCAACAGCCTCCACTGAAGGCTGAGCGCTTGAGGCGAGCGAGTAGCGTCTCAGGACGTTGAACTCAGCTGGCCTTTCATCCCGGCCGTCTCCCCACCCCCACCATAGCACATTTGGGCTTCCTCAGCTGTTTTCCCCCCTGCTAGTTGCATGGTATGATGTATGGTTCGACGAAAAAGGCGAATGTGTTTTTTGGAGGGGGTGCTCCTAACTCTTTTGTGGCTTTCCTTGTAGCTCATTCATGCCCCCCACCCCGCCCCATCCCTAGATTCTGTATGCCTTTCCGGTACCCATAGGAGCTGGGGTCTGCCAGCTCTAGAAATGCTGCCTTAAAGAGAAGAGGAGCCGAGAGTGGAGGAGAAGGCTGATCTGGGCAAAGGAGAAGACAATGAAGAAAACGTGCAACCAACGGCTGCTGTCTGCTTCTTTAGCCATCAGCTCTAAAGAATTTAAAAAAATAAATAAATGCAAGCCTTACTCGTTGGGAAGCTACTTGCTATCACATTCGGATGCCTAGCATGACTTTCAGCATCTCTCATTGTCAACTGGATTCCCGTTGAAATGGCACCTATATGCTGGATCCCAAGCCTAAGCTGGATCCTAAACATCTGCAGGCATTTGCCTGGGGCTGTGAAACAGAGCCACGTTCTGTCTGCTGAGCTTTGCTTCCTTTTGTTACAACTGACTGTAGCACTGAGACCCCTTCTTCTAAGCGTAGGGATGTTGCGATTGCCTCACTTCTCAATAGGACGTAATCTGGGGAGGGGGAAGAACTTTTATGGTCACAGAGGTGGGTCACATATACAGTTATCTACTTGCATAGCTAGGAGAAAAGGGTGCCCCACCATCAAGAGAGATTTGCAACAGGCAAATCACATCCCCCGTTCTCATTTGTTCTTCCTCCAAGTCATGTCAGAATCGTGCAACTGGGTATAAAATGAGGAAAGAGTGGCTTTATTGTGATATTATCACAGGAAAAAATTGAATGCCCTTTCTGGCTTTTTTAAAAAAAGGCTTTCATTGTCTGGAAGAAGCCAAGTTAATGATCTTGACACAAAAATAAATAAATAAACGCCTCTAAGTACTATCACTCAGTACAAATGTTCGTTGGACTGCTGCTGTTTAGTTCTGGCTTTGTGGTCTCTTTGAAGTTTCTACTGAACTAGGGCATACCTGTTGCTGAGTTTGCATTGGTCAGCAATCCAGCACCGTAAACCCCATTGCTACATGCCTGTCACTTTTCTTATTTTACTGCTTCCTCAGGACAAAATGCCTGTATGCCCCTGATCGACCCCTTTGGCGCAGAGAGTTGGCTGGTGCCAGCATCACTCCAGCATCTTATCAGTGAGTAGAGAGATTTTATGTGACTTCAGCATCCCCCCTTTTTAAAAAAAACAAATTTTATTGATTTTTTAATCATCCTTGACAGTGGTAGGAAATTTGATATAGCTCTTCCCATTTGGAAATTCACACTGTCCTCTGTAAAAACATTAAGTTCAGAAAGGAGGATGGAGCCTTTTGTAAAACTGATTATTTCTAGAAGTAGGCACTGTTTTTATTTTTGGAGGTGGGCATAAAGGGAATATTTGTACTTTAAGAGGAAACATTGATAGATGTTTTAAAGAAGGAGTGATGTTTCCGGCAGAAAGATTCTTATAAATGGACATAATCCCTTTATTCAACTTCCATGATTTTGCCTTCTTCTTTTGCTATGCCACTGTTTTTTCCCCCCCTTGTCAGACATGCATCGAGCTTTCATGATCTTGCTGCCACTCAGCCTCATCTTGATTATTTTTGGCTGGATCTGTGGGATCGTTGGCTCCTTGGCCCAGATTTCCTGGCTTCTGCTCTTCACAGGCTGCTATTTTCTGTTGGGTGGTGAGTGATATTATGTCTGGGAAGATTCTGAAGAATCCCCCGGCATCTCTGCATGATGAGCCTGCCTGCTACTCCCTGTTGGATCTGACATTTCAAATGACAATGTGCATGCTCGGTTTATTATATCAAATATAGACTTGGACATAAGTTATCTGTGAGACATCTCATAGTAAGCAGCTCAAATTGCCAGCAATTGAAGTGGCGAGATTGCTGTGACAATCATATTCACTATGATAGAAGCCATAAACAACTAATTTATTCTGAAGCCAATAGGACACATGATTGAAATACAGTTGATAGCTAGATTTATCCAGGTCTTTTCTGGACAGAATCCCCAAGCATTTCTCTGGCAGGGACCACTCTTTTCTGTGACTTTTTTGGGTGGGGGGAGGCTTACAGCAAGAGCTCTCTGGAAACTATTTTATGAAGGTGTGGCATCTAAGAATTTGCTTTATTAGAATGCAGATATCTATCTTGTTTACAAATGCTTCTAGACATTTCCAGGCAAACAAGGAGATGGTATCCCTGCCTCTTTGCTTGCTCATCTGTTTGTGATCCGGATTGCTCCATTTACCTCCATTGATACCAATAGAATAGCTATATTTGCTACTCAAATTGCTGCTCTGGTGACTTTTTCTTCACTTTTCTTCCCATTCAGCACTCCTGACTCTGTCAGGGACAAGCACCTACATCTGTTACTCCAAAGCCGCATTCGTTGAGACAGTGCGTATGTTCGACCAGCAGCGTTTTGACCGGGTCCATATTACCTTTGGCTGGTCCCTGGCACTTGCATGGCTCTCTTTTGGCACAGAGGGTTTGGCTGGCATCCTGTTACTCCTGGCTGCTCAGGGATTCCGTCTGAAGCTGGAGGCGCATTCAGCAGATATTTAATCCTGGGAGAAGGTGGGAAAGAAAATGAGGTAGTGCCAGGCCTGTGAAATAATTCTTGTTCTGCAATACTGCTTTCCTTAATCTTTCTTATAGGAAATGCTGATGCTCATGCCCTGCTCTGGTGTAAACACAGCACGCACAGATAGACTGTGAGGCTACAGGGACAGGACTGTGCCCACGGTAGAAGAATCCCTGCTGAATGTGAAACGCTAAGGGGCAGCTCAAATGGAAACTTCTGTTTAAAAAGACATCACGATTCCAATTCTGATTGTTATTTTCATGAACATCGGCAGAGAACAGAACTGAGCTCCTGGTGTGCAAATTGAATTAAGGCATGCAAGCCGGGATTTGTTGCCTCTCCAAGACTTGTGACAAACCTGGTTAGTTTGCCCTGATTGTTTAATGCATCCCTTATTTCTCCTTTTCTTCAAAGTATAAGTTAATTTCTACCTTCTGATTAATCCAGGGTCTCTTGAAATAAAGCAAGCAAATCTAACATCTGGCTGCTAGTTTCTTATTCTCTCCCTGAAGCAAAAAGGAAAATGTAGCTTCCGTGTGTCACAAGTATAAAGTAGTTATCGGTGCTATGAAAATTGGATTCTCCAGACCTCATCTGGTAGATATATGGCACACATACTAGATCAATTTCTGCCTTAGCCTTTGGAGTCTTCTGGGAGCAGAGGATGAGAAGCAGGTTTCCCTAAACATACCATGTCTTAAAAAAACAGAATCTGTTTCAGTTTTATAGCTGTGGAGTAGTCAAGGAAAGTTTTAATGGAATGGAATGAAATACCCATGCTGGAATCTTATTAAGTAAGTGTAATTGGCACTAGCCAAACTGAGTATATTTTGATGTAGTATAGATTGGTGTTCCAAGCATCAACTTCACTTCTGGTGTGCAGATTGACTTGTTCTCCAAAATATGTAACCCAAGCTCTGCTTCTTTGATGTTTCCTGAAGATTTACAATGCCAGAGAGCACTTAGGTAGAGTTCACCCTATGGGGAGAGTTGGATGTTAATAACTTAACCCATAACTGCAGCACCTTCTTCATGCATAGCTTCATGAGCTCACATAACTTGCAGGAATTAATAACCCCTGATAATACTGGTTGCTACAATTACTGGACTGATGGAATAGGGCAGAGAATTACAGGTGCAGACCACTTTAGATGAATTCTGAAGTCAGAAAGGTGAGATGAACCGTCATCTAAAGCACATTAATTTTCAATCCTGTAAAAACTGTGCCTACTAGGAGGAAGGGACTGAGAAATTGCTGCAGAAGGTTCTAACTTGCATAACTGAAAAACATCCCAGCACCTGCACCATCAGGAGAAAATGTACTCCCTGGTTTAGGTCAGATAGTTAACTACACAACTCTTTTGCTCTTTTTCCTCCTCACAGGAATGGTACTTTGAGCAAGTCTATCGGGCACTTTTCAGTGTTTCATCCACACAGTTTAACAACGGGGCTGCTGTCCGAACCTGCCTTTCTCCTCCTCTTCATGGGCTACACTTCAGTGATGGGTTTCCTTGCCTCTAAGCAGAGGACTCCTGGCAGGGGATACCTACCTCTTGTCAAACAAAAGGGGAAAGAAATGAAGGCCACATGTAAAGGCCCTGGAGAATGAGGAAGCCAATCCCCACTGAATCCAGTTAGAGGCCTTGTTTAGAACCCTGAGAAATTTCTGTTGCAACCATCTATTGGTTCTTGCAAGCTCCACTAAGATCGCTCTATCCAAGCATCCAATTTAGCAGTATATCCATGTAATGATCACAGTGTTTCCATTTTTGTTAGGTACAGGAGACATCATGGGAGTGAGAGAAGATTTGGGTAAGAAGTTACTAGTCTTTTTCACTACAGGATTATTATTTTGGAAGCAGTGAGGTGGAAATGCAAGATAGTGTTGTAGGTCATATTGTTGCTAGTAAAGTGACCCAAGATGATTCTTCAGAAAAATTAGTTGGGTTAATTAGTTGGCTTGCTCTCAAGATTTATCTCTTGGGAGTTACTGAATGAATCAACATCTCTGTGTCTCTCCCCTCCCCCCATCTGAACAACCTGCCTTCTCAAGGCAGAGGGACTCAAGATGAAGATGGTACTTATTCCTGTGCATCTGCTGTTTTTGTATTCCAATTCATCATGACTCATGATCCCAACAGAGGAACCTGAAAGGACCCCAACTTCCTATTCCAGGATGAAGTGGGTAGATGAAATAAGGTAGATCCATTATGCCAGTTCTGTTTAATTATCTCTTAGCACAAGAATTTTAATATAACTGCTATTCTAATTAAAGATACTTACAGAGTTGTGGGCAAGTATTTTTTTTTAGTATTTATTTGATTTGTCAATCGCTTACAAGATACAGGTATAAGAATGAATATAGTTTTGACTACATGAGATAGATACTTATAAGAAAAATAAAAAAACAATAGGACAGGGATGGTAGGCACAATTGGTGCGCTTATGCACGCCCCCTACAGGCCTCTTAGGAAGGGGATGAGGTCAATAGTAGACAATCTAATAGTAGACAATCTAACACCTTGTGCAGAACAAATCTGAAGTGCAGAACAGCCTGCTTTAATAATATCGAGATAGGAAGTTGTTGCAGGCCAGATTGGAAAGTTGAAAAGAAAAACAAAATAACTAAAAGAAAAGCCATTGATAAATGATTTTCATAACATTGTCAAAAAGCAGCATGGAACATGTCTATGTCATCACTGAGAGTTAAGCTTGACTTGAGGAAGGCTCTTGATAAGTTCCATCTTAATATTTCATATCCAGAAATCAGAAGATCTTAGGAGTCTAAAGAGGACAGCTTCTTGGAGTTCCAACTGATAGGTTAGCAGAAGCCCAAACTACCTATCTTTGTAGTAAAATTGGTTAAAAGGCTAATTTCAGGATGGAGAGTTGGATATATACTGGTACGTGTGTGTGTGTGTGTGTGTGTGTGTGTTTTGAGAAGTATCTGGTGGAGTTGACTCCAATTTACATTTTGTTTAGACCCCTTTTGCTTTTGCATATGGTTTCCTGGTACATTAGGAACAGTACAATCACTTTGGCAGGGGAAAAAAAAATCCCATCCCTTTCTTATAGTTACATTAAATGTGCACATTAACAAAGAAATAGATATTCCCCATCTCTTTCTTCCTGGGATTACATTTTTCTTCTTGCAGATACCCTTCCAGCCAGGGGTGGGATTCTACCAGTTTGCACCTATTCTCTAGAACCGGTTGTTAACATTCTAAGCAGTTGAGAGAACAGGTTGTTAGAAGAAATTACTGGCCTAATCCTGTAAGGAAGGCAGGAAGGAAACATTCTGGTGTTGCTTACAGAAACTGTCTCTCCATTAACACTTATTACATTCTTGGCAGTACTAGACTTCCTATCTCAGGAACTAGACTTCCTTTCTCTGGAGTTTTTTTTCCCTCCTTTGCTGATACTTTGCTTGTGTGGAATGACCATTCAAAGTTACAGTGGCACTGAAAAAAGTGACTTATGACCATTTTTCACACTTACGACTGTTGCAGCATCCCCACAGTCATGAGAGGCCAGGCGAGGAGATGCGTGCCTCGATGTGAGTGATATTGAGTTGGCCACACCCAGCCAATAACATGACCACCAAGTCATGTCCACCCAGTCACATGACCACTGAGCCACACCCACCACATAAGCCACGCCCACAGAACCGGTTGTTAAAAAATTTGAATCCCACCCCTGCTTCCAGCCTATTCAAGAGCCCTTCTGCTAAAACCATGGTAGGGCTACTGGATGGTGACAATCTTCATTTTCTCTTCCTCCTGCATCACAAGAAGGCTTGCCTTTGAGAATAGTACTTTGGATTCAGTACAAGGGACATAGAGGAGAGAGGAGAACAAATAGAATTATCTAGTTTAGAGGTTGCCAATTCTTTCAGGTCTCAAGGGTCTTTGCACAGTTACATGGGATGCTCTGGTGCAGGGGTCTCCAACCTTGGCCATTTTAAGCCTGGAGGACTTCAACTCCCAGAATTCCCTAGCCAGCAAAGCTGGCTGAAGAACTCTGGGAGTTGAAGTCCACAAGTCTTAAAGTGGCCAAGGTTGGAGACCCCGGTCTGGTGCACCTCCAAATTATTAAAATCCTAGGACATCTCAATAATGTACCTTTCCCAGGAGAAAAGAATGTGGCTTGTATTAATGGCCACTAGAGGGAAACCAATGACCAGGTTTCTCTGTCTTTTTGTCGGCATCTCATTTAAGTGTGTCCAAACTTTGCAAATCAGCTCTCTAAATCTTGCAGAACTGTAACATCACAAAAACTTGATAACTGTTAGCAACATTTATTATAAGTCGCCCAAGTTACCTTCTGATATAGCTGAAGTTTATTCATTTACTTCAGATGCAATTTGTTTCAGAGTGGCATTGACAGGCTAACAATTGCAGTGCTAAGACCCTCAAACTGGTGTTCGGATTTTCCTGTTCTAGTGGGCCACGCAATTAATGCCTTCTGCTGAACTATGCTGAAACAGAAATGGTTATTATTTTCTTTCAGGGGTCGTATTTGCTATAAGGACAGAGATAACTTTCTTATGTTAGTTATAAATAGATTCCTAATTTTTATATCAAACTCATGTGGATTGAAATATACATTCAATTGTTCTAAATTGTCTCCTAGTGTTGTATACTTTAGCATGAACAGAAAGAAAGAAAGAGGAAAGTTCAGGTGCATTTTTAGTATTCTGTATTGAACATCTACTAATCAGGATTTACTGCATCAATCCAATCTGGCCCAAATCTGTGCACAGCAGGGTTTAACAGCATTTATGTCTGCTTGTTGCCCATAACAGTGACACTTGAAAATGGTTAAGAGAACAACTGTGAAGTGACAGATTCTGTGGCGAGAGGGGACTTGTATAGTTAGCCCTCAACTTACAATCAGGGGTGGGATTCTACCAGTTCGCACGTATTCGCTAGAACCGGTTGTTAACATTCTAAGCAGTTTGGAGAACCGGTTGTTAGAAGGAAGGAAACATTCTGGTGTTGCTTACAGAAACTGTCTCTCCATTAACCGTTATTACATTCTTGGCAGGACTAGACTTCCTGTCTCAGGAACTTCTCTGGAGTTTTTTCCCCCTCCTTTGCTGGTACTTTGCTTGTGTGGAGTGACCATTCAAAGT